AGAGAGACGAACACATTGCACAGGAACCTTACGTTCTAATAGACGAGACAATCCAAAAGTTGTAACTGGCGCGAACCTAAGAAAAGGACAGTATGTATGGAGGAGACAAGACCGTGTTTATGTATCAAAATGGAAGGATAAGAGAGATGTCTGTAGTATATCCACTCGTTACCATCCGATATTGATAGAAACAAACCAACAGATTTAACCAGCCCAAAGTAAAACCAAAAGATATAACTGAATATAATCACAATATGTCTGGCGTTGATCGAACTGATCAATTAATTTCATATTACTCATGTCCACGAAGGACCATTCGCTGGTATAAAAAAGTATTGTTTCATTTGTTGGACTTAACAATTGCCAATGCCTATTTTATTTATCGAAAGGGAAAAGAAGACCGCCAAGAACGATGTATGAGTAGCTTAGATTTTAGAAATCATCTTATAAAAAGGTTTATTGGTGTACCTCTTGACCAGACTCATCACAGAAGTTATGTAAAAGTGGGTCCTATACATGGAGGTAAACGTAACAAAATGATCCTGTACCTGAAGGATATAGACGCAAGAATTATTATTTACGATGTCGTCAATGCTCTGAAAGTAAAATACGAAAAGAAACATTTTGGCGATGTAAAGATTGTAATGAAAATCCACCATTATGTCCAGGATTATGTTTTCAAAAGTGGCACGAAAACTTGGACTAGCAAATAAGTTTTTTTATTTTGTTTTTTACAATTTCTTATACTGTGTATTGTGTTTGTATTATGTTGTGTATTATTTTATTGAAATACCGTATTTAATTCATTTAATATTTGTAGTTTATGTTCAATAAATGCATTTTGGTAACATTTAATATGACGGTCATGAGCGTGTTGTCCAATAAGACCATTTGTATAACTCTAATGGGACAAGACGGCTGTGACCGTCATGTATTTTTTGTCTTCAATATGAAGTATTTTGTACTTTTTTGTCCCCACAGGTTAATTTTTAACCAATGTTATCACAGTACCGATAAATTTGCAAGTGCGTTTTGGTCATTGTCAAACATTTTTACGGTGTCCGCCAAAGGGTTAATTAAGCGATCCTTATTAACAGTCTGCAACAAAATGAATCTAAACGTTCATATAACATGTTTTACACAAAGGCTTCCTTCGATATTGTAACTATGAGCACGGCTCTAGACTTCGCAAATAAATGGTGGTAAAATAGGCGAAGCTGGAAGAAGGTTCAATATTTCAGAATTTTCTATTCGAAAATGTAAGAAATGTGTTAATAGTGGACGTGGCATCGTTAATCTTCATGTTGGAAAAAGTTGCATCTTTTCCCTCGATCAAGAAAAACAATCAAGCACGTTTTAAAAATGGCGAAAAGTTATTTCATGGCAGTGGCGAATCTGAACATTGAACTTGGAAAGGGAACTACCAACTTAAGGGGAGGACTTATAATCAAACACCAACCAAGACATAAAAAAGATAAACATAAACCACACAAAACACGTAAATAATAGGTTTTCTTTAATTTTTGACCTGCTTAGGGGGGATTTCCCTATTCCCCCGTGTATCCGCTTATGTTTCAAGATTTTACCAGAAACCAGCTGTGAAGACTTAAGTATATTCTCATTTGCGAATTCTAGTCATATTAAACATAATTTTAATCCTCAGACAAAAATGGCAGGCAAAGATTGGTATTATGGCTTTCTAAAGACACATCCAAAAATTTGTCTTAGAAAGCCTGAACCCAAAATCATAAGTTCAACTTCAAGGAAGACCGAAATTTTAACAGGAGCGGAATTACCACCGTACAAAAGCCTTGTAAAAAACTTTGATCAAAGGGTGTCGAAACAATTTGGCGGGAAAACATCTGGTGAAAATGGGAAGACAGTCACAATTATTTGCCGCTTCAACGCATTATGCTCCTATTACGTTCCACCAATGTTTATATTTCCAAGGCTTAGCATGACAGGCGCATTAACAAATTGTCCACAAAATCTATTTATTGTTGTTCTAAAAGCGGCTATAGTAACGATGTAACGAAGATTTTTTTATAAATAGCTTCAGCATTTCAAAAATACCGTAAAACCGTCGAAAGATGATCCGACATATTTAATTACTGTAGAGACCATGGGATTTCTCTTTTAACAATACCTCCTCACACTTCACACAAGCTCCAACCATTGGATATAACTTTTCTGGTTCTCTCAAATCAGCATTTAACAGGTATTGTGACTATCACTTATTGACAGCAGAGAGGATAACTCAATATGATTTAGCCGAGATATTTAATAAAGCATACTTGCATACTGGTACAATGCACAAAGCATAGTAAGGCTTTCAGACAGTTGGCATCTGCCTTTTCCAAAAAAATAAATTCACGGATGATGACTTTTTAGCCGCAATTTATCATTTACCTGTTACAGTTGATGATGAATTGGTTCCGTCCCCCTCTTCCAGCGACAACCAAACTCAAGTCTCTAATACAAAAAAAAAAACATGATTCTGCAGTTCCAAGTACATCCAGCAGCAGCATTTTGGAAAATCTAAGTCCGCTTCCGAAACCACCCCAAACAAAAAAGACTCAGATATTAACAGAAACGCCTAACAGAGAAAAACTTGAGCTGGAAATTAAAAAAAAACAAAAGAAAAGTAATATTGTTTAAACAAGCGTCGAAATGGACAAAATGGCAGAGAGAAAACCACGAAATTGAAAAAAGGTACCAAAAGGAAGATTTTTGAAGGCAGCAGCTCCGAAGATGTTTTAGAAAATGAACTGTGCGATGATGATGAGTTAGGCGATCTCGTGTCAGATGAAAATGACTTCTGAAATGGTAATAGTAGCAAAAAATACATGGTATGGTACAAGTGTTCGATATGTTGTCAATGGGCTCATGCCATGAGAGTCCAGAGGATTTGTGACTTCTGTGATGCTTAGATTTTTTTAATATATCTATAACTTTGTTTCTTATCTTTTTCCGTATATTTGTTTGTACTTTTAATATTTATGATCAATAAAATAAATTTTCCAAGATATTTTTTAAGTTCTATAATAATATTATTGTGCGCAGTTATTGGACATGTGCGCACCATTTAGCCGAATAGGTCGGATAAAAGTGCGCTTTACACTAATTGGAAATTTTGCCTATCTCTAGCAATATACCTAGACCCTTGACGTATATCATCAAAAAAGTTAGAAACTCAAGTGTTTTAAGTTTTTGCAATATTCTGAATTAGCCTTAGGTACGCACCAATCGCCGATTCTCCCCTATATTGTCCAACTTTCCCATCCCATCCGTAAAGTAAAACAGAGAAAATGGAGCGTCTGATGATCATTCGAGTTATAAGTTTTAGATTAAGGTCTGTTCTTGTAAAAATCTGGTAAAACGAACATTTCGCCATAAAGGACCACAAAATTTATTACAGTGTGTGCCTCTAGTACGCTGTTTGCTATTAGTATAGTGTCGTCCGCGTAATTGATGTTTATCATAGTTTCGTTGATCTTAATTCTACCTTGGTCCTGGTTCAGTTTCTGAGTACAGATTAAACAGGAGTGGGAAAAGGACACGACCCTGTTTCACTCTTCGTCTTATCCATATATCTTCCGAAATGTTTGATCTATTGCCATTTGGTATCAGTAGAGTTATGAGATAACGCAGTCTTGTTCTTAAATTCCGGTTGATATTAAAATGTCGAACATCTTTTGCTGGTTAACGTAATCAAACGCCTTTCGATAATCTATAAAACATGCGTATACAACTACATATTTACGCATCGTTATGTAAGTACATTTAAGGATAAAGAACTTCTGGCATTTTCAATTCTAAATCTCAACTGCGCACTATCCATCTGATACTGGCATTTCCTTTAATTTCTTGTATGGATAATTCTGAGTATGAATAGTTTCTTCCGTAGTTATTTTTAGAACTTTTTCACTTATTTGTTTATCGATAGGCGCTGGTACACATAACGTATAACATTATCGAAGTTATCCAATGTATTCTTTCCGTATCAGTAAGTTCATCCTCCGCCCCTATAATTAGTTCCTTATTTTTTCAGAATATTTTAGAAAAACATCAGAATATAGAAACAACACACTTATCAATCCAACGGGCAGTGTATGTAGATGACATAAATATCATAAGCAGAACAAAAGTAACAGGTAAAAATACATAATATATGGAACGTAAATCACATTCTAAACAAATAGATCTGTTAAAAAACACAGAATAGATTAAAATCCTAGTATGCATAGAAGTATATTTGTTAATATATACGTCCATGGTATATAGTCGATTGGAAAGAGCAACACATCAAGAACCAGTTTTTGAAGCTCTATAGCTTAATCTTTCATGTTCGATCCATTGTCATAGTCCATTAACTTTTGAGCTGCAGACTAGGTAATAGCTTGTCTAATAAAAAATTGTAGTGGTATTTGATTCTGAAAGAAATAAATAAAATTATGTAATTTTATTTTGAGGAATACATGAAAAATTTGATTTATTAATAGAAATAGATGCTTCTTACGACTGACCGCCACGTGCGGTGCACTCATGCTAGGATCTGCCCTGCATATGAGGTAGCAGACACTGGACATTCCAATTAATACTTAACAGAAAGGTAGAAAAAGATGAATTGGTAGGAAGAAATATTCATAGAGGCCAATGAATAAATCCGGACACGGTACTCAAGAGTAACCTTATCTTCCAAATTTTGTAACCTACATAATCTAATAGAATAGAATGTTGAAAGTAACTATGGCTAAATTTACGCCTATAGATGAAGAACTAAAGAGGTTGATCATCAGGTGAGATTATACTCACAATTTTTTTTTTCAAAATGATTTTGCTTTTGCCTTATAGCGACCTTGCCGTAAAAATTGCACTACTTACATGTGCGCTAACTATCTTTGAACTAACAATATTCTGGTCAATTTGTCGGTTCATTAATTAGGCGATGTTACTGTTAAAATTGATTGTGATATTAAAAGCATACAAATAAATAAAACAACATATTTTATAAGATTTTTATTTTAAAAATGTTTCATAACTCAAAACTTCCTGAAGCTCTTCTTTGAACTGCTACCTTTAGTTACTTTCAATACGTTGAATCTAACTGTTTTTGAAAGGGGTCTGCATTCACCAATTGTAACTACATCTCCAATTTCCACATCCCTGTAATATAAGTTAACAGTTAATAGAGTAGAGTTATTTGAATAATACAACAATAAATGAAACATATATGCAAATTAAACATCCATAAAGATTGGATGTTATGCGTTGGATGGGCCATGTTGAACAGATGTTCAACATGGCTAAACGACACAGACCAACTTTCGTCTCAACTTACAAGTACCACATGTTATTAATCGAGCAGGGAGACATGTAGTCCCTAAAGTAATTTTAAAAAATAAATAAAAAATCTATCCACTGTCATCGACCTAGAGTCAAAACATTATTTAATGTAACATTTGGAATGCTTAAATCCATACATGGAGGTCTTATAGACAACTTTATTGTTAGCTACAAATACACAAGGCACTGAGGATGATCTGTTCAGATCGAAAACATTCTGCCAGAACTTGATGTTGACAACACTTTTATAAAGTTTTAAATATTTGTTTTTATACCACAATACACATGTGTGAAGTGTTTTAACTTCTGTGTTTTTTTAAACGATGGTATACAGTCAATTATGGGGTTTTTCCCATTAATTTTGCTATGAAATATGGTTTATAGTGCTAGATATTAAATAGGTGATTCAACTATAAAAAAAAAAAAGACAAATGGAGAGAACTAAACTTATAAAACTAAAGATACAATGTACTATTTTTCAATGGGTAAAAAATCACATGTGTAATTGTAAACAATAGATGGTACAAATAATGAAACATATAGAGTGACATTAACAAACTATCAGCAAAACAGTTTAAAAAAAAAAATAATGAACAAGGTGTATATGGATAGTTTGCTGGATCATTCATAAGAAAAGAACACTGAACCTTAATAATTACTAAGAACTACTCTGAACACAACAAACAGAATATTATTGAATTTGTTAAAATAGATCTAGATAAATTAACATTGACATATACCCCAGAGTCTGACAAAAATAAAATATTGCTAATCTAGTAAAAGCAACATACTAAATTGTTCTAAATCCTACCTGAAACAGGGTGACAGATGTACAGACATATTCCTATGCCTCTTCTCAAAACGATTGTATTTCCTGATATAATGCAAATAATCTCTACGGATGACAATAGTCCTTTGCATCTTCATTTTTTGAACAACTCCAGTGAGAATACGGCCACGGATTGATACATTTCCAGTGAATGGGCATTTCTTGTCAATGTAAGATCCTTCAATTGCCTATATAAAAATTGTTTGTTTTGGTTAATACATTTATGAAAATTTGAATTATGGAGGAATTTAGATAGTTTTTAATAAAACAAATCTAAATTTAACCACAATAATTGCCCCTTTACAAAAATTAGATAAAGTACCTATCTCATAGTTACATTCTAGTTTAAGATCTATTTATTCATTGTCATTTTTGGCATTTTATATTTATATATTACATTATATGTAATTTAAAAGAAACAAGGTATAAATCCTCTTAAAAGCCTTACATTAATCAACTTTAAAAATAACCAAATTAAATAAATTCAAAAGAACTGAAGACAAAAATTTCTCAGAAAAATTGGGAAATATCAATCACACTGATACAATAGATTCATTCTGTTACATGATGAATCTGATAGGTTCTTTAATAAATGCTGAATGTCTTTCTAGCAATAAAAGATTTGAGCTGCTACTGTGATGAAATAAATGGTTGGTCTTTCAAGGATTTGTTTAAAAATAAACTAATCACAAACTTTTCAAAGTTCAAATTAAATGTGGTGAAGATCAACTTCTGTTTTTTCCTAACCAATACACACTTTGTTTTGTCAATATTGACATTCAATGCCCATCTTACGAATTATTTGATTAATTTGTGCATCTAAGACTTCATATTATCATCCCTGTCATTTGCAACTATGACCTGATCATCTGCAAATTGTAGGGTATATAACCAGGTATTGTTTACCTCAACACACATTCTATGTATCTAAAGGCTTTAAATCATCTTTAAAGGCTGCTGTAATAGATTTTAAATAACACAACATGTATTATTGCAATACCATTAACAAGTTTCTGATTTTTACTAGTTACTGTGAGCCAGCATATAGAATGTTTATTGCCTTGGTTATAGGTACATTATAATATTTTTCCTGAATGTCTTCTCCTCTATTATTCGTTTTGAGCAAAATATATTAGGTATATGTGCAGAAGTGGAGAACTCTAAATCCATCTTGCTTGGTCTTAATCTTAGCTTGTTCTTCATTGACTACATTTAGACCCTATTGGATCTCCTATTTTCCAAAATTTAAAACTGTGAAATAGATAAAATGAATGACTAGTTAAGAGGAAAATATACCAAAATTCATCTATACCATAAACTAAATAATGAAATATAAAAACTGTAAACCAAATTAATTGCCAAAAAATGACTTAATTGTTAGCAAAAACATAGACTAAAATGGAACATTCATTTATTTCATAGTGGTATGGCAACAATTAATATAACAATTTTTTTGAATAAAGCTATATTTTTTACTCAACATGTTTATTGAAAAATTTGAATAAGCTTATGCATCTTGTAATGTCTATTAAACATGCATCTTGTAATGTCTATTAAACAATTTCTTACCAACAGTTAGGATATAATGTCATGTTAGCTATTGCCATACAACTGGTGAAAGTATTGTAGATTAACCCCAAAGCAAATAATTTGTAAAATATCGCAAAGCAATTGTAATTCTTCCCACAACACTGTAAAGATAAATAATTCCAGTTGCGATGAGTATGTATATATGCAGTATAATTTATCTAAGCGAAGCATAGTAATAACTAGCCACATTGTCGTAATATATCAATAAAGATTATTTCCAGAAAATTATACTAATATAACTGATAAGGAATCAGGTTCTTCAATTTGCTGGCAAAAACTGACATACCAATGAAATAATTATAATATATTTCCTTTTTGCTTGATATTTTTTAAGATTATCCAATACTATTATAAACCGAAACTGTGTTTGGTTTTTTCGGTATTCAATTCAAATATATGAAGGCTCCAAATAATTCCCCCAGTCTTATAGTTCAAGTGCTTACTTTTATAGTATATAGTTTATAGTATCTAATATCCCATTCTCACATTTCCCCTACATTGCCCTGGCCTACGAGGAATATTAATAAATATAAATGAAGAATATCCTCTGATATTTTTGCTTTTTAACAAACTTTACATTATTGATGTTCCATCTAGGATCCTGTTTGGTTTACTCGCTTGAGTGTCATGTACAATCTTCATTTTTAAATATTTAAAAATAATAAAAGAATTACCAAATAGATTAGTAACGAAATCTAACAGTCCTATAGAATAACCCATATGTTAGTAGAATTTCAATAGATTGCAAATATTGTGTTATCAAACATTTTTATATACTATGGTTTTAAATTTTTAGTTGTTAGATAATAACTAGAATAGTAAATTGAAATAATCTAAAATTTTATATTTTGACCAAACTTACTACCAGTATTAACAATTCCTTGTTATTGACATTATCCATACATGCTGTTTTAAGCTCCAGAAGAATAAGGCTTCCAGAAATAATTTGTGTTGGAGCAAATAAATGAACTTATTTGGCACAAAATTATAACTACAATAAATTATACACCTTACAACTACAAACGTAGGACCAGTTAATTATGTTGTGTGCTGGCTTAGGTACCAGGTTATATTGGAGTGGTCAATACACCTGCAAGAAACATTTCTTTACTTCATAAGAAAAAAACAACACATATTTTTTATCACCATGTCAATGACTATACAATTATTGTCTCTTGATTGATTGAATTGTACATACCACTAAGATTTTCAATCAGATCTTGACCACAAAAAACATCTAAATATTCAAAACATTACATGAATATAAAATTGTGCCAAAGGTTTACACAACACAAATTATTTCGTGTATTTGAAGTGCTCCCAAAAAAATATACCATTATAAGAATTACTATTAATCTCACTCAATATATCTGCATACTGTAAAATATTTGATTTTATACATCTTTATAATTTTTCTAATGGTATAAGTTGTTTGTAAAGCTTGGAAGCCCCAAAAAGCACCAACCCGATAGATTCCACCAGGCTCCCAATAATGAAAAAATATGTAACGAACCTCTCTGGGAGTTTTAAAACCGAGCCCTACACTGCGAGAATGTCTTAAATTTTTCTTTCCTCCACTTTTGCGGTTGAGAAAAACGGTTGGTTGTTTTTGAAATGCCTTTTCGGTCTAAACAAAAATAAAATAGATTAGTAAAAGCTAATAATAAGTACCTCACGGGGTGTTTTAAATCCTAGTCCAACTTCACGATGGTAGCGCATAGACTTGCGCCTTTTTGGACCAGCTCCCTTTTTGCGGTTCAAAAAGATTGTCGGTTGACGCTGGAAAGCTCTTTCGTTCTGTAAAATTGAGAATGGTTGAGAAAATCATTGATATTTTAGCTAAAAACAAGCACCACGTGTTTAGGTTCAAACCATTTCTCAATGCATCACAAAAACAATACCTACATGGAAACTTTACAAAAATGTTAGTATCGCAAGACACAACAAAACATTTTTTTATTAAAAATTATAATTTTCTCACTTATTAATAAATATTTTCTCAATTTATTGAGAATTTACATACCTGATCCGCCATTTTCACTTGTAAAAGAAAGGATTGACGTTTATGACATCCGACACATCCGACACGAAATTACAGAACAGTTTTTTAAAACACAGAACATATAAGAATAAAATGACATTTAAGGGGAATAATCGTGTTCGGATATTAATTCAAAGAAGAACTTCATAAATGACGTCATTTAAAAAGCTATTTTATCAGCGAACTACGAACACACTAAACTGCGTTCGTAGTTCTCTGATTTTATATTATGCAATTTGAATGCTATGCAAGACAAAAATTTAAATCAGAAAAGAAAGTGATATGCAATGCTAGAAGGTACTTGCATAGCAATAAAGTAGCCTCTGTAGCAATGAAGTGATCAGAATGCCCACTCTACTTGAAAAAATAAGTACGCCCATCTCGTTCGCGCAGACGGAATCAGCCATGTTTTAAACGGAACCAGTGCTATTCAGTGAAATTTTATCTGGTATGCATAAAAAAAATTAACCCGGCTTAATGTATTTACGGTAACTATAGACATAATATGAACTATTTTATTCGTACTATTAGTTGAAGAATAGGTTAAATTATTTCAAATATACTAAACTATTAATTTCTAAAAATTTAAATTACAGTTCTGTCCTAGCTCGTCACAAATTTCTCAATTCGAGTCCATGTTTCCGTTTAAAATATGGCGATCGCGTGCTGACAAGCTTCAAAGACACCACCCAAGAGAGGGCATTCTGATTGTTGTTTATTCTGTGAAAATAGCATGAAATATAGAACATGTTATAATTTTTAGTCTAGCGCTGTAGCACATAGCTGTATGCTTGGATATCGCATGCGCATGCGAAGTTGCATAATCTGTAATATGTCTTGTATAGCATGAAAGTTGCACATTGTAAAGTCGACTTTACATACGTCTTCAGACCACGAAAGGGCTCTTTATTTTTTGCACTTTAACTAATTCAAAACCTGCTTGAGCAATGGTAGACCTGTGACTGGGTGTATTATTATGATGCATAAAAACACCTTTTCACAACTTTCTCCTAGTTTTTTTTTTATAACTTCACATGATTTCGAAATTAAATTGGCATAACGAGCACCGGGATATACGATTAGCACGGCTTCACTTGCTGAAGGTTTTATTTATTATTATATATACTCAATTGAATTTTTTCGGCGTTGGTGAATTTCGATGTGTGGATTCGTTACTTTGTATTTTGGTCTCTAGCTCGTAGTGATAGATCCAGGACTCATCCGTTGTCATTGATCTTTCAAGAAAATTGTCTTTGTCTTATCTATACAGTATTCAAAGCCAACTGTAATATCTTTTCGAGTTTGCCATGATACTATGAATAACAAGATAGGATCTTCCCGTAGCTCAAAATCGGTCGGGTTCGCGCATGCCGTCATTGGAGACTAGAATTTGAATTCTTGTTAAAGTTAAATGAGATTTGTATGCATTCTGTGATGAAATTACTAGACGAAAATAAGTTAGGAGGTTTAACAATTACAATAATCGTACACATAAGGATATCTCCAAACTATTTATTAAAGATTATTTATTGATATATACAAAAACTGACATTTCTAACGTGCAAGTCTCCAATGACGTCACAAAAACATGCGCAATATCTTATCTTATAGTCATAGTATCATGGAGTTTGCTTGTGTCTATCTGCATATAAAACGTATCAGTGAAAGACCTGCGTTATCGTGAGGTAGGTACTCTACTCTAGATACCTATCGTAAAGGTAATACACCTATAGTTTTAGTCTCGATAATCTCTAATGAGGAAGCCAGTGAAATTCATTATCTTTCATCGATAGGTATTTCGGACATTACAGAAAGTAATTTTTAGTTTGTATATAGCTATTCGTGTAATGATTTGTGGAATAAATATAAATTATATATAAAGGAATAGATACATGCTCTTCAAGGTACACTCTTAGAATCGCAATAAGTAAAGAAAAAAACATTTTATGGAATGGTTCGGAATTGCGGACAGAAATGGAATCTTAATAATTCCTATTTTGGATTCTACTATTTGTTTGACCCATATAGGATCGGGGGCAGTATACACAAGGAATTTCATAAAATCCGTGTTGTTCATTCGGAATATTATCTTGACAATTGATTGATTGGACAAGAGATGAAAGTTTTGTCGATTTTGTCAGTGACACCTTTAATGTGAGAACAAACGCTTACGCATGATGAGGGTCTGATTCGTTGTTCCGACTCAATTTCAGCTCTAGGTGAACACCATCTTCATACAGGTCATAAAATTGATTTTGAAAACTCCAGAAGCATAGCTTCTATCCGCTTCTATAAACCAAGAATTATCTGAGAAGCCATAGAAATTGAAAAAAGGCCAAATTTTCTCAATAAAAGAGATGACGGCATCTACATTCTCCAGTTTCCATCTTTGATATATCTTCTAGTAGTTAGTCTTTCCATCTTATTTTTGGTCTTCCTCTTCGTCTGTTTATTACTGGTTTCAAGTTTGTTATATTTCTAATTAGTGCACCTTCTTCGTATGTGTCCGAACCAAACCATCTCAGTCTTTGTGCTTTAATAAATTTTACTGTCTTTCTCTTCGGTTATATTTCTTATTTCATTGTTTTAGTCGTCTATATTTTTCTTGTTTTGTCTTTATTGGCCGTGTATTATTCTTATAATTTTTCTTTAAATTAGTCTTAGTTTTTCTTTACATTGTTTCGTAAAATACATTATTTCCGCTCCGTATGCTATCACCGGTCTAATTATCCGGGGTTCACGGGTAAGCCACGGCAAACCTGAGCAACCTTAGCGGAGATTGGGTAACCAACCCCAGTGGAAGGTAGGGTCATTGCCGACGAGGAAGGGAGAAATGGTCTTTTAAAAAAGTGGACCTTAAAGAAAATGTCAAAGACATCCATAGGGAAGTAAAGTTCAAAATATATAAAACCACCATAGGAGCAATAGCAACATATGACGCAGAAACATGAATCGTGATAAAAAAAAACAATAAACCATATTAATACTTAAAAAAAAGTTACCGAGAAGAATATTGGGGCCCATCTACAACATTAGTATGTGAAGAATAGGGTTCAATCACAAGTCATATTAATATTACAAATAATCCTTTATAGCAAATTTTGTAAAAATACAAAGATTGTAATGGACAATCTACCTTATAAGAATAGAATTTAATGGAACTGTTCTGGGACGTCGATCAGTAGAAAAACCACGGAAGCGGTCGATAGAAGAAGTAAGAACCGACGCTAAAGAGATAATGAGGGTGCATGACTGGAGAAAAGTAGCCAAGGAAAGAAATGCTTGGAAGTGGGTGCTGGCAGAGGACAGAGCCTGAAGTGGGCTATAGCGTCATAGGAGAGAGATTATATTATATAGAGGGTTATAGTAACCTGAATGATTACTATATTTAAAACATTATTAAAATAAATTTTTTGTATGTAATAAATTATATATAAATGTTATATTTATTTTACTTGCTTTTAACAGAAAAAGATCAAACATTTTTACTGAACATAAAATATCTATCGTGCTATGTATTAAGAGTATAAGTCAAAAATATCAATTTTTCACTAGGGCTCTTCAAAGTTTTTATTACCACTTTTGAAATAACTGTTACAACTAAATATCAAAATGATGATGAAATATGATTCATAACTGTAGTAATTACCTATTTTACTTTCTATTTTTATAATACCACATTAATTATAAATATTAGTTGACTTGTACTGTTAAGGCCATGTTTGCTTCATGACTTATACTCTTAGTCCTGCCAGTTTTGAGTGTATTGAGGATTTTACAAGTGATCAAAATAATCATGAACAGAAAAATATTAAATTAAACTCTTTATTCTTTACCTACATGATGAAATGTAATTATAAAAAAACATTACAATTAAAGTTCTAAAATTAACTTACAATAAAATTGTTATTCAGAATCTTCAGAATCGGAGCCTGGATATGTGTTTTTTACCCCTGCTGATGTTTTCATAGACTTATAAAAATTATGAAATTGGGGATGTATTAGGGTTAAAAGGGCCATGATATCCTTTTTCTTTTCCACAGAAATTGGCAGACTTTTTTTGTAACACTTTGGAGGTTCTAGAGTAACATCGTCTGTGTTATTGCGACGATGGAGATCAATGCAACGGAATGGCTCATCCTTATCTAAGGTCAATTTAAAAAACATTTTTGCTGGCTCTCTTGTATATCTCAACCAACGAATATCTGTCCATTTGAAGGAAAGACCGACCTCATCCTTTGTCCTTAAAAACAGATCTTTTTTGTAGAGAGCTGCAAAATCTAAAAAATCCTTGTGATTTAGTTCAACAACACTGAACTTTTTTTTCTTTCCACATGTGCGAACTAGCTGGTACCAGTCGTATGGCGTAGAAATTGGCATTTGCAAAGTTTTTTTTTGCTTTTCAATCATCCCGTGGTCAACATCGCATTCAAGATGACTGTGACCACTCACCATGAATTTATGATCTATGCATTGCAGTTGAGGACATTTTTGCATTAGAGTTAAAAACATTGCTGAAACATGAGAGTTCCTGTTTTGTCCTCCGCACGAATCAGAATACAAAATGACGTTTTTAATTGATATTGGGAGAGAAGAAAGTTCTTGATAGAGGCACGTCGCAATTTGGTTAGCACCTCTGCCACCTTCCGCCTCATGCCACATGTAGCACTTAACTGCCCCACTACTTGTATTATGCATAGTAAGGTTAAAAGTCCACAACTGCCTCTTGTAGAAGGCTACTGACGTATTAAGGTAAGGTGTAGGCAAACATTGCTGTAGATCAAACGCAAAGCAAATTTTCTCATCTTTGTTTAGCTTAGCATCTACTTTGTCTTCCTTTTTCATGTCATATGCTAAATCTGCTTCGTCTAGGTGCATTTTTCGTTCATTTTCCACAATCTTACGTTCATGTTCATTTTGAGCAATTTTTATCTTCATCAAGAGAGTGTCACATTTGTGACAAGTATCTACTTTTGGTTTTTTGAAGGAAATATTTTGCTTATGGAATTCACGTTCATATATTGCTCTAGAAGCAGGGTTGTGGACATTTTTCTGGTACAGCGAGTACATAATTGCTAAATTTAAATAGGGTGGTAGATATTTTTTCACGCTTTTCTTTCTTGAGTAATGTGACTCGTATGCTGGAAATGATTTTATGTGATCTTGAATATGTTTAATTCTCACATCTGAAATTTTTGATGGTGGAGGTTCTTTGCCTCTTTGATCACATTTTGATATGCCTGATGTTGACTTGAGAGATGAAGAAATGGCAAGTGTCACGAACATATTAGTTTCACCTAGTACCTTCATAAAACAACCGCGACATACTTTGCTTTTTGTACCATTTATTTTAAAGAAAAAGTTATGTGTCCACTGCCTAAACTTTTCTTTATTTGGATCATCTGTTCGTTTACGCATAGTTTTAGGTTCAATACTTTCAACCATGTTTGACACAAAATTTGCCCTTTTATCACGGCTACCAAGACTCCAGTACTCCTTGAAAATTTTTTTTTGTATCTCGATGGAGAGTTTCTCTTTGCAGTTTGCTCGACAACTGCCCAAAGCTGTCATTACTCTGGCAGGTTTTTCTTTACCATCCAGTGTTACATACCTCTGGCCAGCATTTCGTTGCTGAAATTTCTCAATTCTTCTCTTTTTTGAATACTTAGCTGGTTTACCAGCAGCTATTGAGGTGCTAATATTATTACATTGAGTTGACTCTCGTTGTGCTTTTCGCTTCTTCTGTGCTCCTTGAGTGTGGAGAAAAACTTCTATATCTTCCTCAGACGCAGAATTATTATCCATTTGGTAATGATTTATTGGCTCCCCACTTATTACTTCATTTTCACCTGCTAACAAAAAATAAGTTACTTATTAAAGGAAGGGACCATTCTTGCTTATAAACATACTACTCATGAAATTCTAATTTTACCTTCTAAAAATTCATGGACAACATTCTCTATTTCTTGTATGGTGCCCTCAATGTCATCGGAATTAGGTTCTTGCATCGTTTCAAAACCAATCGTTTGGTCAGGAGCATTTCGGTTAATATCAATTAATTCTCCATTATCTGTATTTTGTTGTGTGGTAGCTTCAGTAAGCTCACATGTACTTGTTGTCAAGGGTTCAATTTGATTTACAATGCCTAAAAAGCACATATGTCTATAAGTAAAAAGTATTAGGTATTTATCTACAGATACCTATACGAATGGGAGTTCTTACCAGTATGGGGATCTATGGTCATCTCAATCCCAATAATTTCTTCCGTAGTTGAATCAATAACATCTTTTTGATTCAATAGTTGATTGAGACTTAGTCTAGGCATTTCGTTATACCCTGCAAGCAGCAAAGAAAATATGTTAAATTGTTGGTGTAATAATTTCATCATTGGTTAGCAACTTTTAAACAAATAAAACAAACTTAACTCACCTAATTTTGTAGATGAAGAATCATCCTTTTGTTCTAATAATTTTAGAATTTGCTTTCCTCTACTCATTTTTAAAAAATATTTATAAGAGGACACTGATACTTTCACAGCAACCTACTTTAAGAACACTTAAATAAAAAAAATACTTAATTATTCATGTTTTTGTTTTAAATGGGATTTAGCTATTTTTATAATTTTCTACTCAGTATTTCGAAAAATTAAGAAACAATTTATAAACAATAACAATAACTACCTTCTTAAACTTTTGACAGAACGAAAGTTATAAACAGGTTTGCCAAGTTTACAACTACTACCGAACTCTGCACACTCATAACCTCGAAATTTCCTTTTCGCACCACTTTTAAATTTGTTAATTCATTGAAATTTTATGCTTAAATTTTGATTATTTACATTTTTTCAATACAAACGCCCTCCCAATGTCTCAAATTTTGTTTTTCCTTTTTATTTTTATAATTTCCTTTTGTACAAAAAGGCTACAATATGGAAAAATTTCCATGATCTGGCATCACTGACTAGAAACACCTAACACGTGGTATAAATACTAGGAGTATAAGTCAAGCTGCATAAGTGAAAACGGAAGGTACTAACAATATAAGTTGACTTATACTCTTAATACAAAGCAGACTTTTGAAATTAGAAGTTATACTGTTGGAATAAAATCAATATTTATATATGAAAAACAGGCTATTGACTTATACTCCTAGTACAGAAATAACTAATAAACATCAAAAATTCAAAATATAGAAGAATCCCAAAACGTCTTTTTTTGACTTATACTCTTAGTACGTAGCACGTTAGATATATGAAATGAAATAATTTACTTTTCAAGTGATTGGAATTAAATTTAAAATTTTAAAAAATGTTTGATGTCCACTGATCATCGCCTAATTACTAACCGGTTTTCTTATATGGCTTTTACTTTAACACAGGTTTCCAGAGTTCTGGAACGGGTATCATGAATACATGGAAGATGTACAATAAGCAAATTGGCGGATTTCGAAAAAAAAAAACAGTAAAATAAATAAAATTACATTTGTTTTTTAAGGGGGATGTCCTTAATAATAGTAATTTATTTATTTATGTTTAGAAAACAGTGTCAATTACAATTTCAAAGTAGAATAATGAAAGTTATACCATTTATTGATAAAAAAACATATGCTTTTAAATAAAATCCTTTTGTGTTTTGGGGAAATAAAAAACATTTTTAATTTTTAGAATTCTTTATTATTTCATTTATGTTTTCTAAGATATTATCCCAAATAATATTCACATCTCCATTACGCTCACCAACACTGGTTAACTGGGTTATAAAATATTGGTAACACGATTTAATAACTTCTTTACATCTAATTATTTTTTCGGCTTGCCTAAAACGAAGATAAAAAGATTAAAAGCGGCAAATACAGTGTGTTTGGAAAAGTGGATAGTATTTATTTACATATTTTGCTTTTATTACTCTATTAAAATATGACTTTATTTAGTTATATATACATTGCGCATCACGAAAAAGGGGCCACCTAGAATTTTGTAAGAATTTTTCAGTAACTTTAAGTTTATACAATTTATTCTATTGTAACTAAATTCCCACAATGCAGAAACATTTTTAGCGTCTTTTAGGCACCGACAAACGGTGCCGACAGGTCAATTAAGGGTAATAAGTTTGCAAAATTGATATCAGTTTTACAACTTCGGATAATGCACGTGTTGTTTGTACCTTATGTTTCTTGGAATATGGCTATTCCGTTTTTCAAAAACCTTTCACTAGTGTACAGTTGTTCGAAGAGTAAACTTGTACAATTTTTAAATTAAAAACTATGGCTGAGAACTTTGCTAGATCTGTTCAAATTGTTACTTTGATTGGTAATGGAATGAGTCAAAGAGAAGTGGCCAGACAGCTTGGAGTCAGTCGTTGTATGGTCCAAAAAATTTACCAACGACGACCAGGATCAGGCCCGAGAACCGAAAACCGTTCTTTACAACGCACTTCTTTGCAAAATCGGTTCTTTACGGCTAGATCAATCCAAAACCGTTTTCAAAATGCTCACGGGTGGACTTCAAGCACTTCTACCGTGAGAAGAAGGTTGAGGGAATTTGGTCTAAGGGTTCGCTGTCCAGCAACAGGACCTTTGTTAACAGCAGCACATCGACAACGCCGACTACAGTTTGCTAGGGACCACGAGCAATGGAGGATAGAAGATTGGAAAAATGTTTTGTTTAGTGATGAGTCCAGGATGGTTCTTTATGGCTCAGATGGTCGCATCAAAACATACAGAAAACGTGGGGAACGATATGCTGCTTGTGTTCGACGAGTACGTGTTGCTTTGGAGGTAATGTTTTGGGCAGGCATTTCATTCGAGAGCCGTACTGATCTCGTATTTATTGATAGAGGAGCGTTGAATGCACACTGATACATTACCGAAATTCTAGACGAGCATGTAATGCCTTTTGCTGGGTTTGTCGGCGAAAACTTTATTTTTATGCAAGACAACGCTAGGCCACATGTAGCCAGGATGGTAACGCAATACCTGGAAACTGTCGGTGTGCTAAAAATGAACTGGCCGGCTCAAAGTCCAGATTGGAACCCGATTGAACATGTTTGGGACCAACTCAAACGAAGGATAAGAAAGAGAATACCTGCTCCAATAAATCGTGAGCAGCTTCGTTTGGCGCTCATGGAAGAATGGAAGCTTTTCCTCAAAACGACATCCAGAATTTGATCAATTCAATGCCAAATCGAATGAGGAGTGTAATTCACAATAGAAGTGGTAATACACAGTGTTAATAATCACGACATAATTGTAATTTTATAAAGAAAACGGAAAAAATGTTATTTTGTTTATTTTTTAATGAAATCAATATTTTGGAAGTTATTTTTTGACATTTGATATTTAAAAAATGATTGCATACTGCTTTAGAACATAGTCTTAAACATTACATAAACATCTAATGACAATCACTTTGTGGTATGATTCGTAAAAAAAAAATTAAAAAATGGCAAAAATTGTAATTGGCCTCTTTTTCCTGACGCGCAGTATATTTTTATTACTTTATTATACATCTAAATTATCTTCTTCAATTTCTTTATCTAAATGAACTTCCCACGAACAAACTGACTAACACATATTATTGTATGTCAAGTTCTTAGAAGCCACTTGCTAAATTCCCACATACGTACGGAAACTATTAGTTTTAACTTCGAAAGCCCAAAAGTTTTTAAAATATCAAATTCCTATCGAATTGTATACGCAATTTAGTATCATGGCTAAATGCGACAGTTTAAAATCCTCTTTTATTAGTGTACGCTTCCTTTCGCTGTCTTCGGGCGATGATAATTTTCGGGTACGGATTTTTATCTCTACACAAACGGACAAACCGGGCACGGCAGTACATGATGATGATAAGGTTAGCGCCAAAGATTTCATTCTCCCCAGTGATGCTGTCGTATTTTATTTCCCAACGTCGCTGAGCATCGAGGCGCTAATTTTTTATTCTGCCAATCAACACATTCCAACAAAATGTAAGTGAATTTTTTCACGAATTGATAACATTTATTGATTTACGCCAGTTATTTTTCTACAACATAATCTACAACATAATATCTACTCTATTCAATTATTTATTATTTTAATTAAATAACCAGCTATTTTCAATACGTCCTTCATAAACAGTGTGTCCAGTGAAATAGTTCTAATTTGAAAAAGTGCGAGAAAGAATTATGAGGAGAAGCGTGGATATGTACCAATCACGATAACAATATATAGATTGATGAATTCTAACAGGAAATTCTGAATGATATCAGCTTTTTTGTCCTATTTTAAAAGAAGATCCCAGATTTAAGAGAAGCATATTGTTCCGTCAAGATGAAGCTATGGTCACACTACAAGAGAGTCATTGAATGTTATACATCAATTTTCTATCAACAATTTATATCGACATAATTTGGCCTCCTAGATGACTCGACCTCATTCAATGTAATTTCTTCTGTCTAAAATCAAAATTGTATTCGAACAACCATACCACAACAACTAAAAGGTAATCTTTAATACGAAGTAGATAAAATTTCCCGCCACTCTGAAACAAAGTGTTTGTGAGTTGAAAAAATTGTAAGGGATGGTCATAAAAACTAAAGGGTATAAACGGTAAAATATAGTTTTGCTCTCCAGGCCTAGAACACCCATGGCCTTGGTTTACTATTCTTTTCCATTCTTTGCTGTCTTCTGCTGTATCGTTCCAATTTGGGTGTGTCTCTTTCAACATCTTTCTTCCCAGTGGAAATTACCACAGTCAATTAAGGATACATTCAAAGGCGTCAAAAAGTGTAAATAGAAACACAAAATTGTTATAAAATTGTTAAAATGGCAAAAGAGATCATATATTGACAGTTGTTAAAATCACCACAGGAAAAATTCAATGGAATTGAATGTAGGTAGGTATGTAGGTGTAATGTGGATGTAAGGAATAATTTCCGTGCTACTTACCTTTCATCACAAATAAACTTAATATTTGTATTCTTAACAACTAATTCAACCTTTCTATCTTCGGTATGATTATTATCTATATCACAGACCTAGAAACGAAAGAAAAAAAAATTAAATATATTCTACTACAAAAAATAATCATTCCTAAATACAATAAATACTTTTATTTTTTTTTTATTCGACTAAGTCGTCAAATTAGAGGCAACGATTACACCTGCTAAATTTACCGGCCATTCACTCGGCCCATAACACTAATATCGGTTCAATTCTCCATAGGCGGTTTCTTTTTCTTTTTGTGGCGCGTATCGGTTTCGGATTTTGGCAACCATCATGGAAATCTGTACTTTACAGACTGCTGATCTTGAAAGATTTGTGGTTGTTATGTTAAGCCACGTACATAGATTTTTCAGCCATGAGATCCTTCGCCGATATGGTCTTCGTTTTCTCTCTACTTTTCTCTGTAAAATGAGTTGCAGATATCCATTTTTTTCGCTGTTCCTCATGATGTGATTGAGGTATTCGATTTTGGCTATTTTCCTTGTAGTTAACAGCTCTTTTTCTTTTGTAGTCTTAATAAAACGTCCTGATTAGTAACGTAGTCGGTATAAGATAAAGTCTTCAGGATTCGGCATTAAAACGACACTTCGAAAGCCTCAATTTTCCTGCAGGTAGCGTATGTGAAAGTGGTTTAATACATCGACAACAGGACTATTCAGAATAGCAGCAAGCAAAGTTAGGATAGCCATGTTGATCGCCAACATCCGGAACGGATAGGCACCGTAAGAAGAAGAAGAAGCGTCTGTGAGAATCCACGACTCAACTCCGAATAACATAGTAAAGAGTAGTAGAGTAGTAGTATAGTAAAGATATAACATCATAGTAACCTGGTTTTTATCATCATCATCAATCAGCCAATCGCGTCCACTGCTGGACATAGGCCTCCCTCAGTTCTTTCCAGTGTTCTCTACACTGGGCCGCTTGTAGCCAGTTTCCCGCTATACGTTTAATGTCATCGGTCCATCTAGTCGGTGGTCGTCCTCGGCTTCTTTTATAATTTCTGGGCCTCCATTCCATAATACGTCTTGTCCACCGTCCATCTTGTGTTCTGGCTAAGTGCCCTGCCCAGTTCCACTTAAGCGTCGTGGTTCTTTCGATGACGTCTTGAACTCCTGATCTTCGCCTGATTTGTTGGTTTGTTATGTGGTCTCGAAGGCTCACGTTCAGCATTGCACGTTCCATGGCTCGTTGTGTAACTCTTAAGTTTATTCGCAGATTTTTGCGTGAGTGTTAAAGTCTCTGCTCCATGAGTTTGTACAGGTAAAACACATTGGTTATAAACCTTTCGCTTGAGACACATGGGAATCGAACTTTTTAGAATATGGCTTAATTTGCCAAATGCTGCCCATGTTAGACCTATTCGCCTCTGTATTGCATGTATTTGATTGTCTCTGCTTATTTTGATTTCGTGTCCCAGATATTTGTAAGTGTCTGTTTGTTGTATGGTATTACTGTCAATAGTTATATTTCCACTCATTACGAGATTTGTTATAATTTTAGTTTTATCAAAGTTTATCTTTACTCCTGCTCTTTCAGACAGACTTTTAAGCGAATGCATCATAGAAACTGTATCATGTAAGTTATCTGCGATTAATACAACATCATCTGCAAACCTTAGGTGATTTAATCTTTCTTCATCTATATTGATGCCCATATCTTGCCATTGAGTACCCTTAAATATTGACTCTAGAGCTGCCGTGAACAATTTTGGTGAAATATTGTCTCCTTGTCTAACTCCTCGACCTAAGCTGAATTTTTCTGTGTCTTCGTGCAGTCGTATACTTGATGTAGCGTTCTGATAGATGTTTTTGATTAGTGTCGTGTACCTGTAATCTATTCGGCTTTGATTTAGGGCTTCCAGTATTGTTTCAAACTCTACAGAATCAAAAGCCTTCTCGTAATCGACAAATGCAAGAACCAGTGGTATGTTGTACTCGATGCACTTTTCTATTAAGATCTTTATGGTATGCAAATGGTCATTTGTGCCATATCCTGCCCTGAAGCCTGCCTGTTCTTTGGGCTGATAGAAATCAAGTTTAGGTGTTAGCCTCTTTGTTAAGATTTTCATAAAGAGTTTGTACATATGTGTCAAGAGGCTGATGGGTCTATAATTTTCTAATTTAGTAATATCGCCTTTTTTGTGTAACAAGACTATTACTGCATTGTTCCAGTCTTTTGGAATCGTACCCGCATGTAAGCATTTAGTAAACAGTTCGCTTACTGATTTTAATAAAATTTCTCCACCTGCTTTTATTGCCTCGATAACGAGTCCATCATCACCAGGCGATCGATGGTTCTTCATTTCCTTTAAAGCTGCTCTTACTTCTGACACAGTAATGGGTAAAAGTATTTCCGATCCCTGATTTATGAGAGTCTTTACTCGTGTCGGGACATTGTCTTGTGGTCTTTGGCTGGTATAGAGGTCTTTATAAAATTCTCTAGTTATTTTCAGAATGTTTTGTTTATCTGTTGTTGCCTTTCCGTCTTTATCTCTCAGCTTGTATATTTCTTTTTTACTTTGCGTAAGTTTTCTTTTCATTATCTTTAAACCTTTGTTCTCTTCTACTGTTTGAGTAATTACATTAGTATTATATCTTCTTACATCTTTTCTAATTTCCGCTGAAATTCTTTTATTTAGTTTTTTATATTCTTCTTTGTTTCCCTTTTCGTTCTCGCTTAGGTTTCGTCGTATTTCCATGAGAGCCCTTGTATCTTTGCTAATCTTTTCACTTTTGGTGTCATTTTTCTTGCAAAATTTGAGTTGTGCGTTTCTAACTGAGTCTGTTATTAATTTATTGTGATCGTCGATACTTAGAGGTTTGGGATTATTACTCTGTAAAGTTTCGGCTATATTTCTTATGTATGCTTCTGGATGATTTGGTGAATTCCAAACTATGCGTTTACAACTGTTTATCATCTTTGCTCTTTCTTTTTGTAGATTGATCGTTACTCTAGCTCTTACTGGTCTGTGGTCGCTTCCTACTGATAGTTTATTGAGTACAGTGACATCTTGAATAATTTGCTTTTTGTCTGTTATTATATAATCATATTCGCTCTTATTTCTTCCGTCTGGACTAGCCCACGTCCATTTTCTATTCTGTTTCTTCTTAAAAAAGGTGTTCATTGCATACAGTTTGTGTTGCAGTAGAAAGTTGGTAAGCATTTCGCCTCTTTCGTTTCTTACTCCGATTCCAAAATCTCCGATTGCCACTTCTTGTTCGTCTTTTTTCCTTCCGAGTTTCCCGTTAAAATCTCCCATTATCAGATTGTAATGAGCCGGTTCCTGCTTTTTTGCTCTTTCGATTTCCTCATAGAAGGCTTCGACAATTTCATCTTCGTAATCGCTGGTGGGGGCGTATACCTGGATTATTTTCAGATTGTATCTCTTATTTAGTCTTAGATTTATATACATAACTCTTGGGGAAATGCAGTCAATGCTCTGTATATTTTTCTGTAATTTTTTGTGTACTAATAAACCTATTCCTCCAGTTGTCGATTCCGTTTCCCCTTTATAGTGGAATATGTTTCCTGATTTTAGTTTGACCTGATCTTCACCTCTTCTTTTGACTTCGCTAATTCCTATAATATCCCATTTCACATGTTTGAGTTCTTCCTCCAGTTCTGTCATTTTTTCATCCTTAGATAAAGTTCTTATATTATACGTAATTATGTGCAACGTTCGTCGTTCTTGGTAGCCTCTTACATCCCGAGGATTCTTCGCACCCTCTACCCGCTGTCCGTGAGTCCTAGCGCTACCTTGGTCGGGAACTAGCGAGCTGCCGGGGACTGAGGGCCGTTTTCTTGAATGTCTGTTCATGCTGAGGGGGTTTTGGCATTTAAACACCACGCTTGCCAGGCGGGTTGGTGAGTTGCTTTGGGAAATTGGTAGGATAGTAGGTATTGGGTAGGAATGGGGTTAGGACATGATTTCTCTCCACAGGAGTTGAGAGAGAATCAAGGCTCGCGTAGGGCAGGATCGCATCCCTGAAGTAAGTCTATCCTCCACTGGGATTGTGGAAGAGTACCTACCCGCTACCCTAACCTGATTTTTATGGGTATTGATAAATCATAACATTTGAATAGCTCATAGTTATCTTACATTTGATTTCTGTCGGTTTAAGCTCCAAGAATATCTTCTTCCTTAAATATTTACTGTCATCTTTCGTCTGTATCAAAATTGGTTTATGAGGATTACAAGTTATGACAAAACTTAATTTTCACAGATATGCCACTTGCGGTTATACCGGAAGTCAACAGCAAATTTGTTATTTTAAATACAATACCCTGTATAGTATTACCTTTTTAGATTCTTCATAAGATTATAGATAAAATTTTTATGGTACCATAGGTTAAAACTTTATATTTTTTGAGTTATTCATCTTTTTTCAAAAATGTTGACAGATAGAGACAAACTTTTCATAGTTAATATCTCATCCATTTACAATCATAATCTCTTGAAATTCTTTGCACATAAAGAGTATGTAACTTTCTTTCGGGAATTTACATCGAAATCGAAATTCTATATATAGGCTGTTCACAAATAATATGCCATTTCTTTAAACACGATGAAATAACAAAACACAAAGAAAATTAAAACGTAAAAGATTCCATTTCCACGAAGGTGACTTCGAATAAAACATTAAAAGAAAATGCCGAGAAAGTACTTACACATCTTTAAAAAAATAAACAACTCTGAAATGGTTTTATTACTTGGCGACGCTGAAAAGAACGAAATATTATTTGGGTTTCAAATTAAACGATACGAACGAAAGATACATTAAAAGATTTTTCAAAGATTTATGAGGGGATTTCAATATATTACATATACAAGGGGATTTCAAAATACACCAAAAAAATCAATGAATTGCAAATGCTACAGTATTAGGGTTCCATATATCTAAAGTTAATACTTTTGAAGATAAATACATAGAATTCAAAAGCGAAAAAACTTCTTCCCGGTGCGGTGGGGATTCGAACCCTGGTCATTTAAGTGCTACGGCTCTAGCTCTAGTTCATCAAGGATTCCTTCTGGTCCATAGGCTGTTTTTTCATAGTTTTTATAAGTTTGGCAGTAAGGTCGTGTAACGATGTCATCACCGTTCAACAGCTTGAACCGTAGGAGTGTCAGCGTTGGCGCTTCCACCTCCTTAGCACGATGTGAGTGGGGTTCAGAGCAACTATTTAAGGCATATGAATAGCGGCATTTATTCAGTCTTTGGCTTAGCGCCTTAGGCTCCTCTCTTCGCCAGTGTTCTGAACTGGCGAGCCCACCCGGACGGAGGTAGTTCCGCTTTGAGGTTCACGCTCCATCCATAATCAAGCAGAGTCTATCGATATCGTGTTTTGAACTTTATCGCGGACCTGCATAAGCGATTGTTGACGAGTGTGTTCGGAGCTCCCGCTGAATTGAAGCGGAAGCGAGTATAAGTCTGAGTGCGATTGACTTCTTCTATTTTATTAGTTTTGTTATTAATAATTATTCTTTTCTTTCTTTTGTAGACGTTCGCCGGTGATTCCTTCATCGCGGAACCCAGACGGAGCGCAGAGTTAATTTTTATGTTTATTTTTATACGGCATAGAATTTATTTTATTTTTATTTATATTGTACATACATTAGACCAATAGATATATTTTTATTTTAACCTGTGTTTTACTGAGTCTGTCGTCCTGAAAGAGCTACCCGTTACAAATTGGCGCCCGAGCAGGGACCCAATTTGTAACGGGTAGCTCTTTCAGGACGACAGACTCAGTAAAACACAGGTTAAAATAAAAATATATCTATTGGTCTAATGTATGTACAATATAAATAAAAATAAAATAAATTCTATGCCGTATAAAAATAAACATAAAAATTAACTCTGCGCTCCGTCTGGGTTCCGCGATGAAGGAATCACCGGCGAACGTCTACAAAAGAAAGAAAAGAATAATTATTAATAACAAAACTAATAAAATAGAAGAAGTCAATCGCACTCAGACTTATACTCGCTTCCGCTTCAATTCAGCGGGAGCTCCGAACACACTCGTCAACAATCGCTTATGCAGGTCCGCGATAAAGTTCAAAACACGATATCGATAGACTCTGCTTGATTATGGATGGAGCGTGAACCTCAAAGCGGAACTACCTCCGTCCGGGTGGGCTCGCCAGTTCAGAACACTGGCGAAGAGAGGAGCCTAAGGCGCTAAGCCAAAGACTGAATAAATGCCGCTATTCATATGCCTTAAATAGTTGCTCTGAACCCCACTCACATCGTGCTAAGGAGGTGGAAGCGCCAACGCTGACACTCCTACGGTTCAAGCTGTTGAACGGTGATGACATCGTTACAGTCGTCTCCGATATTTATTTATGGTCGATGGATTGAATTTAATAATCGAAAATTTATATTTTTTAATGATTCATACAACAGTACTACTGTAGATTTCATTTCACTTTGTACATTGTTTGGGTATATAAATGTAAATTTATTATTGGGAATTACAAACTTTGACACCCGTTTTGAGTTTACTGATTTGTGTTAATCAAAACGGTAGATAGCTTACTATAAGTATAATTATAATTACCTTATTAATTTGTAAATCCCTATTGGAAAATAACAATACTGACAAATTGGTTAAAAAGCTACATTCCCTGACCAAAGTCGTTCTTCGAATATTGGATCTGGTTTCATTGATGTAGAGAAGATAATTTGAAGGAAATTTGTATCGCCTGTAGTTTACACTTTCTGGAGTGATGGTGGCTTTATGATTATTCCTAAAATTTAAGACAACAAATATATTTCCAAAATAAAAAAATTCGATTACTGTAAAGTTATAAACTTTCCTTATAGCAAAATTCAATTAAAAGGTTAATTAAATATTAATACAATATAAAAAGCATTATAAATAGTGAACACATCATATTGTTTGATATTTTTTTGGTAGTACCACGGGCATATTTTCATAGTTTATACCTAAATTGAATCGCCAAAAAAAAACAGAGACCATGCAGACAACGTTATCGATTTATTTGAATAGGTTTTTCTTTGTCAATTTTAGAACGATTTCAAAGATCAAGTTTCAGTAGATAGAGAATAGATTTTACGTTTTTAATCACGCAAGCAAAAATCTACGGAAAATGTGCTGACAGAATAATAATGTGACTGTAAAATCACTTGTTTCGCAAGAATAACCAACTATTGATAATCTGAAGGTCTCGATAAAACCTAAAGAAAAAGATGTCTCTATATATTATTTTAAACTTTTTTAGACTCTTCAATAGCTTTTCATATTGTGAATATAGCTTACGGTTGTCTAGAATCGTTACACCTTCTGGTAGGTATTAATTAATGAGTATCACCGAATGACGAGACTGTATCTATCACCGTACTGTACTGCTCATTCATCGGCCGATGTGCTAGAAAATTTTCTTTTTGTCATGAACCTAGTAAACTACTCACTTTGAAGTGAGATTGCCAACCGACTGTACGCTGAAGTCGACATATATTTAAGTTAAAATGTTTAATATATAAGCTTAAATACGTGAATAGTTTGGAAGTATGTCATTACTTTGATTCCGAATTCATAACTCAACAAAAAAAAACGTCCCAAACACTGTAGCAACTATCGACTTAGTCTTGGAGTTGAAACAACATATTGAAGTTATTCCTACGTGTCATCCATAGTAGAATAAGTTTAAAGAAGATCAAGATGACACGCAGTTTGGATTTAGAGATGGATTGGCAACTAGAGAAGCACTTTTTGCACTGCATGTTTTGCTACAAAAATGTCGAAATCAACGTAAAGATGTCTTTGCCGTTTTTATTGATTACGAAAAGGCATTCAATACAGTACATCGGAAAGGTAATTAAAATATTAAGAGATAAAAGAGTTGATAGCCTCGAATTCAGGATCATTGAAACATTAGCGTCAAACAGCGACCATTCGTATAGTGAAAATCCCTTTCGGGTTATATTAAAAAAAAATTTCGGGCTAACAAGCCCATCATCAGTATTTTGTTACCTGAAATAAGTATTTCCACTTAATTTAAAGCTAACGTAAAGGTAAAATTTTGATTAAGGTTGAAAAAGCAATGTGGTTAAATACGAGGGTGGATTGATATAAAACTAGCTTTTGATAGAAAAAACAAGTTTTTTGGAATTACATCGATTTATTTCTCCAACATAGTCCCCTTTTAGCTCGAACACTTAGTAAGTCGATGTTCCAATTTTTTTATCCCATCCGAATAGTACTTTTGCTCGAGCTCTTCAAAATAGGCCGAAGTTTCAGCGACGACTTCATCATTTGTTGCGAAACAGCGTCCTCCGAGCCATTTTTTTAGGTTTTGAAACAGGAAAAAAATCGCTGGCGGCAATATCTGGAGAATACGGTGGGTGTTCAACCAATTGATAGCCCAATTTGTGTAACTTTGCCATGGCGGCGGCCGATCGGTGATCGTTGCATTGTCTTGGTGAAAGAGCACTTTTTTGCGTTCCAAACCGGGGCGTGTTCGACGCAATTCGGTATCGAATCGATCCAATAAAGCTGCGTAGTACCCACCATTGATGGTTTTTCCTTTTTCCAAGAAGTCGATGTGGATGATGCCCTTGGCATCCCAGAAAACAGTGACCATCACTTTGTCGGCCGAATGTGCACTCTTTGCCTTCTTCGTTTGCGCCACTGTTTCGACTGTTCTTTGGTTTCCGGTGTGTAATAATGCACCCAGGTTTCATCAACGGTGATAAATCGGCGAAAAAAATTCTTCGGATCGCGCCGTATCATCGCCAAAAGCGTCTCCGAAGTGGTCACACGTTTTTGTATTTGATCGATTGTCAGCAAACGCGGCACCCATCGCGCGGATAGCTTTTCATGTCCAAAAGATGGCAAATGATGTTGTGTACGCGTTCATACGAAATGTTTAGGACCTCTATTATTCAGCTTTTCAAAATTTTACTGTTGCTAATGAAGGTGCAACCTCACCATAAACTTCTAAATATTTGGGTAAAAACCCTTTAGACGGTACAAAATTTAATATTTCTTACATTTTATTGAAAATTATGTTGTGATGTAAAAATATTTCTCAGGTAACCTACATGGCAGTTGCTGCTGACCCTCAGACGATGTCTGAATGGGTTTTAGATCGCAAGTAATAAAAAATGAGAGTTTTTGAACGACTATATGAACAAAGCAGTCAATGTAACTTTTAGTATATGTCGTAATGTGACACAACGTGTTGGATGAATATGTTAAGAAATAAAAAAAATATATTTTATAGTTCCTTATAACAGTAGCAATACTGCTGGGGTTATAGTATAATTTAATTATATTTATTAGCCATTATGTTTACTTGCACTATGAAAAATAATTGCAATAATTACCTAGTAAGTAGGACGTTGGTATTATTCTTTAAACGATTTTTTACAATATCCCAATTACGGTATTGTAAAATATTTCCAATACCAGAATACAAAACGGCTTTGACTAACTCGTCGTTGTCTGAAGAATCATCAGAAAATGGGAGTACATCGTGCAATCCATCTACTAAGTAGTCAAAATGAATTTTTCTTAATTCTGAAAAAATATGATTAATTTCTTTTTTAATTTATTTCTACTTTTTAAGATTATAAATATATTACGCAAGGTACCGTTGTTAATCGTTTAAGATAATAACGGCAATAATAAAATATACATCTCCGAGAATAAAATATTCACTAGTTGCCATACTGCTCTTAAGAAAATAGATAATGTTAAAGTTCAAAACTTTAAAAACAATATAGCATTCGACAAACGCAAAAGAAACTTGGTCCATAATAAACAACCTTCGAAATAAAAGTAACACAGTTCAAACATTTTCTCTTTCAAACCCTGAAAATCTAAATGAATACTTGGTTAAATAGGGAGGTCAAAGGGAAGACCCCAACTTGATACATGGAACAAGATCTGAAAGCACTTCAGATTATCAACTGATAAAACAAAGCAAGAAATAGAACAGAATGGCGGAAAATCATAGAACAAGCCAAGACCCAGAAAAGGTTGTCGAGCTACTGAAGATGATGATGATGATGAACTATGCATAAAATTTTTCTCAAGTCCCCCAAAAAATGTATTGGAAGTCCTAGTCTCACTAATTAATGATTTCTTTGAAAACGGTATATTTCCAGAGTGCCTAAAGACAGCCATTATTATTCCGCTTTATAAGGGTGGTGAAAAATCTAATGTCTGCAACTATAGACCAATTGCCTTACTACAGGTCCTATTCAAAATTATTGAGACTTATAAAAGCCCGACTTATGTCCTTTCTCGTTGAAAACAACATTTTATCACAAAATCAGTTCGGCTGTTATCCAATAAATATACCAGTGATGATGTTTTCTGTACTAAAAGAGGTTTACCGAACACTAAACAATAATCTTTAAACTGCCACTGTTTTTGTAACTATGCCAAAGCTTTTGATTGGGTAAATCACATTTTGATAAAAAAAAATAAATGTTCACGGAATTCAAGGTATTTCTTTGAATTGATTCCAATCGTACTTGGGAAATAGGAAACAAGTAGTTAGAGCAAATGATACTATCTCTAGTCACAAAAGCATTGTATGTGGAATACCACAAGGTTTAGTATTGGGTCCTCTACTTTTCCTCTTTACAAATGACATCACTAATTTAAAAATCTATAGAAACATTTTTCTCTTTGCTTTGCAACTCTTCATGCAAATATACCTTCTGATCTACTTAAAATAAAAACTGATATAAGGTTGAATGCTCAAATAAATGAACTTTGAAAAATTAAAGGCAAATATCGAGCACAATTTTAGTAATCAAATCTTGCCCAAGTACTTTCGCTTTCTACAGCATCATCAAGGGCATTTCGCAAATTTGGGCTATCCAGCAAGCCCAGAATGTAATAAACATGAAATTGAACATAAATTGTACATAACACTACACTAAAACAAGGACAAACAGTTTAAAATTATTTAAAAAAATATTCTACGCTCTACATTCTTGTCGGCAAACAGGATACATTTAATACCATTATGACAAGAATGTAGAGCGTAGAATAATTTTTTAAATAATTTTGTACTTGTACTTGTAAATCGAAAGTACTTGGGCAAGATTTGATTATTAAAATTGTGCTCGATATTTGCCTTTAATTTTTCAAAGTTAAAATGAAAACCTTGTCCGGTTCTAATTTACTCTATTTTAACGTAGATAAGACAGTAGCATTATCCTATAAAGGAGCTCTTCAACTCTTGCTCCTTAGTAACAACCAGATCTATATTGTTGATTCTGTAAAATTTCTTGGTATTTTTATAGACATCAACCTTGATCCCTTCATATCGATTTGTTAAGTAAGAAACTAGCCTCATCCTGCTATGCAATAAGATATGTTTCAAAGGAAATTAATTTAGCATCATAAAATTTATTATGTGTTTTTACAATTGAAAGAAGCTGCACTTTAAGCACATGTTCATAAAATTTTAAATTTTTGGAACGGAGTCAATTCTGTTGATCGCTTTTTTTAAATGCATTTGTTGGCATTTTCTCTATTTTACGAGAATGGTACGGTGTGTTGTCAAAAACAATGACAGATTTGTCTTCTAATATTGGTAAGACGTTAGAAAACCAATTTTCAAAAGATTGACCTGTCATATCTTCATGGTAGTCACCAGACTTATTCGACTCAAATGCCCAGAGAATAAACCCATTCTCGCTGCCAAATACAAATAAATAATAATAATAATAAGTCTTTTACTGTAAAGACGTAATGTAAAGATGTAATAAATTACCTGAAGGTTTTTGTAATCCTGTTGTTAATCCATTTAAAAAAGCTCGTTTAGATGATTTGACTGTAGTACCATATTTTAGATTTTGTATGCCCAGCATTCAACCATGTCTCATCCAGGTAATAAATTTTCTGCTTCTCTTCTCTATAAGTCCTTATCTGTTGAAGATATTCTCGTCGTCACACTACAATATCGTCTCTGTCTAATAAAAGGGCGTTTCTTCCCCTACGTAGATATTGAAAATTAAGTTTTTTTAATATTCTATAAAATGTGATTTTCGTAAAATTTGGAAAATCAGTGCCATAGTTCAACTTCTTTAAAATCCTATCCACGGTGGGTATTTCGTTTTTCATAAAAAAAATTATGAACCTGTCTTCTAATCGCATTTTTGTCAAAATCATCTATTTTATCAAACTTTTTTTCCGAGTCAGACATACTTTTGGTGCAGCAAAATGATGATTAGTTTTATATTCCTTAATCGCCGTACATACAGTTCGATCTCAAACTCCAACTTTACTCACTACTTTTTTTACAATATATTCAACAACTAACCTGGGATTTTCTATTTGTTCATATTTAAATGCATTTACTAGTAATAGAACAAAAGTAAAAGATGCTGTCGAACAGGCAGCTAAACTGAAATGGAAATGGGCTAGACATAACGAACGTCTTAAGGATGGCCGATGGAATAAAGAAATCGGGAATTGGCGACCATATGAAGCCAAAAGACTATGAGGAAGACCGCAAATGCGATGAAGCCACGATATTTAAAGAACTCCAGGGCCAATGTGGAAACGTCTTACAAACAACAGAGATGAATGGCGAGAATTAGGAGAGGCCTATATTCGGCAATCCGAATAGAGAAAAGGGCTTAAAAAATGAATTCAAAATTATTTCTTTCACTTCAACGCTAAGACGACTTCTAGTAATTCGTTTTCGAGGAGGACTCCATATGTTTTCAACTAATTCATCAGCACAATCAGTGGACGACATTGTTTTTCAACAACTAAATATATAACATAAAAGTAAATACTTAAATAGTTTTACAACGCACAAATAATTATTACTAGTTCAATATTAATAGCATTAACATAAATTGTCCTTAACCATCAAAACAACAAAAACATTACCACAGTATATTGCTAAAGATTCTTTAGCAATATACTGTGACATTACTAGCAATAACAAATCGATTCAAAATACAACACTTCACTACCCAAATAGTCAATCTTGTCTGAACCTGTATTATTTGCCGGTGACGTCGACTAGCAATTTAACCAAAAAAATAGAGATGGCTATTTCGTTTAGTTTTTGAATATTATGAGAAAAGGCAGCAAATATTTGATTTCACGCAAACAAATCCTATGTATCTGTTGATACGTATTTCGATCTAATAGGTCTCGTCAGAAGAGCTATTCATAGGGGTTCTCAACGTGAAAAATCAATATTTTCTGCCTTTTAAGACGCAACAATAACATGGCTTCAATACGGACGCACTAGCGACATCTAATTAAACAATCGTAAAATAGTTTCGAAACACAATTCAGATTTCTGCTTTATAATCTGAGCCTTCTAAGAATTGCAAGGCAAACAGATGTTGATAAAAGATGTTAAGACATGGGGAATCTAAAATTTGCATTCCACGACATGTCTTTTACAACTAAGCAGAAATCCTTAGCGAATTGCGCTTCTAGTACTCCCACAGAGTAAATCCGAATAAAATGAGAAAAGGCAGCAAATATTTGATTTCACGCAAACAAATCCTATGTATCTCTTGATACGTATTTCGACCTAATAGGTCTCGTCAGAAGAGCTATTCATAGGGGTTCTCAACGTGAAAAATCAATATTTTCTGCCTTTTAAGAAGCAACAATAACATGGCTTCAATACACACGCACTAGCGACATCTAATTAAACAATCGTAAAATAGTTTCGAAACACATTTCAGATTTCTGCAATTGTGTTTCGAAACTATTTTACGATTGATTTTTGAATATTCTTGGCCAATCGTTACTTCCATAATAGTTTAAAGTATTCATTAATATGATTATTTTTTCACTACCTATGTATTCAGTGATTACAATAATTTCTATACTACGCAATAAAAACTAATAATCGAGAAAACAGAAAAATTGGTAAAGTGATATTGAAATTGAGTTTCATTTTATCTTTTCATTACAGATTGATAAGGGTGCATTATACAATAAAATGAAATTTATTCAAAGAGAAATAATAATTTTACTTACTTCTAAGCATCTCCATTCGGTGCGGTATCAAACTTAAATCCTTACAAAATTGTCTTATTTGACGGTTATCTACAACTTCATCAAACTCCATAAATTTTTCAAACAGCCTCATCATAGCTAGATGGTCGCTGTCCTTGGAAAACTCGCTTTTTATTTCTTTTATGGTTTCTTTGTCAATTAAACCAGACGAGAATAATTCAATATCCGTAGAGAAAAGAGTGATAATATCGACTATTGGAGAGAGACATTTGAATATATAAGAATTAACTAATGTTTTTGCTAGCTTTGGTTCTAGCTGGAATTCTGCTAGCCTTTTACCGAGAGGGGTCAAATTTTCATTATTATCTAGTAGTTCCAGTTCCTTTAATTCTTCTATCGCTTTAGAAACGGTACTTTCTTCTGGCGGGGTTGGAAGAGTTTTCATAAATGTCATCGTCTCCATATTATTACTGAAAGCTTAAAAAAATTTAAAATAAATATATATTTTTTAGTTCACCATTTTTTATAAGTAAAAAAAGTTTAATATGAAATAAAAAAGTTTAAAAATCAGTAGTTAATTTACTTCAGTAATTAAAATTTAACATTAACTTCAATTCTGCTATCTTGGATAAAGTTCCCCCTTCCCACATTGTGATAATACCTTTGCAATGCGTTATCAGTTGTTTTTTTTCTGTTATTGCGAGATATGTTAATTATCAGGCTGTCCTTTCTTATTACTTTAGGACATCAATTACTATATCGAATGATATAGCTATTATTTTCTTCCACAGTCTTAGCTTGAAGTTCAGTTTTACTTTCTTATCTGGTCTCTTTGCATCAGACAACTTTTTCTTCATTTTTTTAATACATGCTTAATGAAAGCATGATCAGTACAACAACTATTAATGGTCTACAGGAACCTGTCTTTTTTGCATTAATAATGTATCGTAATATATATGTATAATAATCGTAATGACTTTTTCAACTCTACTTAGCCCTTCTTGAGCCATATTCGTGAGCTTAACCCAGTACATAAATTATGTATAATTTGTCATTGAATAAATAAATATTACCATTGTTCTCAGTATTTTCGACTTAAAACACACACCATAAATCTTAAAATAATTCAAATAACCACAATATTCAAAATTTCAAATTTTTAGGCCGAGTTTAAAAAAAAGCGAAAGAATATAGACATCCTCCAACACTTTGTTGTCGTCATCAAAACTATTAGTCAAATCTGTGCATTTTGCCCATTTGCACTATAAATTATTAGATTCCTAGACCTAATTATTATCTTCTGTATCTCATTGATCAGTACTCCTTATCCAGTTAGGTAGATTTATGTTCACACTTTTAATTTATCCAGCTCCTTTTTTATACTCTTAATTTCTAACTTCAGCTCTTGAACTTATCTTAAAAGGACTGTGGCGCTTTTAAATGCTTCTCTGTATGACCTACAGAAAAACATGAGAGTTCGTTTTTAAATGACAATAGCCCTTAATTATGATGCAATCAACCTTTTTATTGCTTCAGTGGAGTACATAGCTATATGGCAGTTATCACAAACCACTATTTTAGACCCTTTTGATATAGATTATTTGCAAGTATAGCAAGGTCAATAAAAATTGACCATGTGTTCGCTGATTTACCTTCACTTTCTCAAAACTCCAAATATAGTTTATAGTTCTGGTATATTACCGCAAACCAGTACTTGTTGACTCAAAATGAAACACCAATTGATTACACACTTTAACAGTTAAAGTTTGAGGAGAAAAAAATACTAAAAACAAAATTTTGTGAACATATAGCTTAGACAACCGCATATTCTCAATACTGCAACAATAAGTGAGAGTCGATTTTCCTTAGTCTGTTTGGCCAAATGTTTCTGTCCGTTACTAATTTCGCACGCCTATCTTTGTCGCATCTTCCTCTAACCCATCCTTCGACATCAGTCTTGAACTGTCCCTACTCCTATTTCCCACAGGCAGTTATAATAATGTTCTCCTACGGGGGTAGTTTTCATTCACTTAACAGGTGCCTATCTTATCTTATCTATGTTTATGAAGGATAAATAAATGCGATCTGATATATATTCTATATATTTCTTATCTCTAATCTCAAAGTTTGAGTCGGATACCTCAGGTGGTAGAGTGCCTGACTAACAAGCAGAAGACCGAGGATCGATTTCCAGCGCCGGCGAAAATATTTGGATATATTTAAAATATCTACCGGCTACAGGTCGATTCAGCCTGAATAAAATGAGTATCTTAAGTGAAACAATGGGTAATAATAGGTAGTTGAAGCGTACCTTTACGTAACTGGCCCTCTTACTTTCATTGTATACCGTTGGCTCAAGTGTATCGGACTACCCTGCTATTATTGTTGCCACCGCGTCAAATATTTTTCTCAAGCTTAGCTTGTAGTATCCTTCTTAGTAGTATTATATAATTATTGTACTTACAAATTTATTTTTTTATTAATTTGACTACTTAGATCACTTTTCCTGAGACCTAGATCTGCTTATAACAGATTTAACCAAAGAACGAATTTTAGAAAAAAAAATACAAAATACCTTTTGAATCTAACACTATTTTCGTCAATGAAGTCCGCATTATCTCTGGTAATGAATATTCTTCAAAAGATTCATATTTTGATCTTGTATAAAGATGGTAACATTGCCCTGGTTGCACTCGACCTGCTCTTCCACTGCGTTGAGTTGCACTTGCCTTTGATATCCAGTGGTTATCAATGCATTTAATACCTAAAAAGGAAGAACTTATAGAACACTAAAATTTTAAAGTTGATATTTCTTGCACTGTTTTACAAAGAAACTACTACAGTAGATACATCTATTCACAATTTTCAATATTAAACTTTGTTGGAATAAAATATACTTAAAGACATTTCTAACACAACATTGTTTTCTTAATTTTTCCAATTTTTTATTTTAAATTTGATTACCTTTTTCTGTATCGAATCTCTGCTCCTTGTGGATACCAGTATCAACCACATATACAACATCGTCAATCGTAACTGAAGTTTCGGCAATATTTGTAGCTAGAATAATTTTTCTGGTTCCTGGTGGAGGTCTACTAAATATTTTAAATTGTTCTGTGTCGTTCAATCTAAAAAACAAGTAAATAAACAGAATAAACAAAAAAAACTAAAGAAACATGACTTATAAGAAGAAGCAAACACGTAATTGGCAGTTCATTACAAATGCAAATCTTCACAAACCTTCAAACAGCACGTGATCAAAGTTAAATCAATTAAAATAATATCCTTTCCTCTTGAAAGTACTTATAGCTATTATTTTTAAAAGAGTCCACCTCAATAACATAGAAATTATAATATAAACTTACGATCCACAGCATTACGCATAGTTTTCGGAGCTTTTACAATTACGCCAATTAGCAGCCTTTAAGTCCTAGCAGGAGAACCGCCATTAATTCTTGAAAGGCAATATTTTTCAATGTATTGTGCTACAAAATATCTCAATTCAAATGAAAACCCCTTCGTAACAAGCTTAATAAAGAAAAACTCTCGAAGCCTGGACTCAAATTGATCCCCTAGAAACTTGCCTTTAAAAGGACGTCTACATCGATTTTAATGCGATATACATCAATTAAGAGCTACAAACAGAAGCTAGTCTCCTTCGTTTAATGTTGAAATCCCAAAAGTGGCTTTTATCTAACTCAACTATCCCAAACATTGACACTATCCTTTTGAAATACAATTCCAGTCTACCATTTCCAGTTATCCTAATTTCAAACTAATTTTTACTGATGTCCAGCAGCAATGGTGTAGCTAGTGCAGATATTTTCGAAGACAGTAACTCTTTCAGCCGCTAAGCCAAGGAGTGTAGCATATATACTGGAGAATGGCAAGCAGTCTCCAACGCACTGACAAAATGTACCATCTACGATATAAATTTTCTTATTATATCAGGTTCTCTGAGTGCCTTAAATGGTGTCAAACAGATGTATCCTACTCATGTCAATTTCGCACAAATAAAAAACATGATATATAATTTCCAAACAAGCGGCAAAAACATAATATTCTTATGGGTACCATTCCATGTTGGGATAATGGGTAAAAAAGTGGCTGATAAAGCAGCAACAGAAACTGTCAATAACATGACAATCCCTATAATGCAAAAGACATCATTTCAGATCAAAAATCATTAATAAAAACCTATATTAACAAAACCTGACAAGAAAAATAAAGCCAAACAGAAGCAAAACTAAAAATTATCAAACCAGATGATACTTCGGGTTTACTGCCATTCCCAGCTCAAAGACATGACCAAGTAGTCCTTAACAGACGTACAAAATTTACACATGGATACATAATCTCCGAGGACCCTCAGCCAATTTGCCATAATTGTCAAATACCAATTTCAGTGCAACGTATCGTATAATGATAGACTGTCCAATGTACTCAATAGCAAGATCGACAACGAAAATACAACACAATCTGAAAGAAGCTCTCATGGAAGATATTAGTAAAACAATAAAAGTACTGAAAGACAATGAAAACTTGTAAACTCTATAATAAACTTAAGGATTTCACAAAAATAAACCATACCGATAATAACCCTAGGGGTTGATGCGGTTAAAAAACATATAATAACATTTTAAAAAAATACTAACAACACTTTACCTGGAATGTAAGCAATATACCGCAGTGTGGCCCCTCTGAGGAATCATTCTTTGAACTTTCGTTATGTCCTCCCAGCCAGGGAGGAAGCACAAAATCGCACCTTCGGGTTTAGTGCAATCGATATAATCAATAACTTTAGAAACATCTTCGTGTATTACTGCTGGGGCGAAGCTCTCACACATGGCCTTAGTTTTGGTTAGATCAACTTCATCCACTGAATCTACAAAATACTAAAAAACTATCTTTGTTAATATTATTATGATTAGACGTTTAACAAAATTATTGCTATAAAGAGAAACATATTTGAGATTAAATCAGGTGGGAGAGATCCTTGAAGCCATACAGAGTGTTCTGCTTTCCACTGATGAGCACTTGCCGTTTGAAAAAGAACCCTATCATGTTTTCTAATAATTCGCATGTATTCTATCATTTTTTTTTTTCTAAACATTCAAAAAATTCAAACAAATAGTATATAACATATATTATATACAGGGTAATTCATTAATAATGTCCAACCTCTGAGTTGTACATTCTAGACCACAAAATATAATGATTCTGCCCAACATGCCTTATACAAATATTGCTACTCTCAGAGATACAGGGTGTTTAAAGTTGAAATATGGATTTTAATTTTCGCAACAATGTTTCCACAATTTCTATCTGAAAATTGACAATTTTACGATTTTTGGCATGAAGATTGCTAATTTAGACTCTTATCATTGCTAATAGGGGGTAGTAGTTACACTTGGTTGTGTTAAGTAAATCAAAGCAAACTTTTTGTCAGGTAAATTATGGGTACAATGATAGAAAAATATGAAGACGCCTTAAATTCTATTCTAATTAGGTTATTTGCTTCTAAAAAGTCCAATGAATTTCTATTTTACAAAATCATCCGTAATACAGGTAGATTACCATAAAAACAACGGTAATGGTCAGCGATAAACATGCAGAGACTGCCTTACTAAAAAGGTTAAAGCGCTGATATTCTAAATTCTTAGTGTATCCCAAAGTTTTTCTCAGAATGCCAAGGAAGGCGTTTAACGTTCAGACATAAAAATTGAATAAAGATCATGCAAAAGAGATATTAAGAGAACTACTTGAAATCAAGCGTCAGTCAAATTCAAAGACAGATAATTTATAAAGTGAAACAGTTTTTTACCTTAATTTCATAGTAATATGAATTTAAATATTTACTTATGGCAGGTGGAAAGAATATTGTGATGAAGTATTAATACCTGAACAAATTAACATATTAATCCTAAACAATGATGATATTGTAAACGGAAAAGAACAAGAAGAGAAGATAAACAGATTAAAATAAAGCAGGGTCACATAACATATAAATTGGCATTCACCAGAAGTGCTAATATATCTGGTGAAAAAGCTTTCCAAATGTTAACATCCGTTTCAAATAAAGCTTCAACCGAAAAGAAAATCTTGTGATAATTTTATATCAATCTCAGACAGAACTCTCTTATTACAGCTCAAGGCCTGACCAGTCAATATCATTATAATACAGTGCTATGCTCCAAGTGCCGATAAAAAAGAAAACATAAAAAAGTTTTGTAAAGAATTAAAAGACCTCTTCAAAAAATCAAGGAAAAATAAGCCAAATTAATAAGGTGTAATAATAATTTTCAACCCTAGTGTTAACTTCATAACCACCCACATCTATCATACCATAATATTTTATCATTTTCTTCACCCTTCACATCTACATCACATTCCTGTCCTTTCTTTTCTTTCATTATTTCTTGGTCAACTCATATATCAAACATGCACTCAATAGTTTTAAAGTCAGTAATCATTCAAACATTATCTAACTGTTTTTCAAAATTCATATATTTTTCCCCTATTACAAAAAAAACCTTATCCAACATTGCTCACCTTCTCTTGGTCAACAACTTAGTAGCACATTTATACATCAAATTTTAGGTTTTTACAAACCGAATTTATTATTACTAAAATACATTTTGTTCAGGGTGCTAGATGCTGTAAGCATAAAGGACCCCTATTATCTCTAATTGTTGATTAACTCCTTTTCTCCTTTAACCATCCCATCCTTCTTCAGTCATTTCCTCTACTTTTATTCTCATCAAGTCTCTGAGGAGCTCAGCCTCTTCAATTTTAAATTAATCACATAGGTTATAACTCTGATTTCTTCAGCCTGTAGATTTTCAATTTACCAAACTTAATTTTGTTAATTTTTCACCATACTAACAGTTTTAAATAGTCATTTAAATACGAGGTCTTATATTAGCTTCAAATATTTGCTATTAAAATTTTTACCTGTCCTAGATGTGATAAACATAAAAGGATAATTTTCATATATATATATAATCTAATCTAACATAAAATACACTTTTAGACCATATTCCATACGACAAAAAGCAACATAGGTTGCCTAATACACACGTCATCCTCTTAAACATGACTTTAACACCATTGGTGATTTCACATCGATTATAACCCAAATTTTAAATCCCAACACCTATATTGCTGTTATTATTTTTTTAAAATCATCAAAAATAATTTTTGAATCTTTTTGGCTGTAGTAATACTAGGTATAACTAATATAGTTCCATGTTACATTGACATTTTGTTTTTGACACCGTTCATAGGTATATTGTAAATCAGTTTCCAGCTGTTCTCCGTGCGTAGAGGTTTTCTCCCCGGCTCTGGAACTCAATTTTTACAATGTATGTTACCTGAAGTCATATTTAATTTGATACTGAACATCACAGTTTTTTAACAACAAGATGTATAATCTTTTATAACTATATGTAATTTAAAGGGTTTTTACCCATGTATTTTTGGTGGCTCAGGCATTTTAACCTAGTAAGTATAGCCATTTTTGCTTTTTAACCATAGTCAAAATTTCATAACCACGTTTGTTTTAACTAAATGGTTTATACTTACTTTAGGCGATTTTAAACCTGATGATGGACTGTTTAGTCCGAAAACGTTTGTTTTTTTGATGTAGCCCTTTTAAGGGTTTTTAAATAAATATACCCACTTACGAAGACTAACCTCTTTTTTGTGATACGTGGTATACAGCCAGCTACAGGAATTGTTTTCCTTGTGGATTTTTTCAGTATGTTATGATAACGCAGAAATCACATTAAGTAAAAAACTTACCCTGTCAATTGGATAGGTAAATCCCGGTATTTCAATCACTGGAGCACCATCAAAATATTTCTTAAACATATCAGTATCTATAGTAGCACTCATAACAATTAACTTTAAGTGAGGATTGTTGTTTAACGAAAACTTCAACAAATTCATTAGCAGATCAGTGTTGACATCTCTTTCGTGAGCTTCGTCCAAAATTATATGGCTAAATTGTGATAAGGTGCTATCTGATTGGACATGTCGTAAAAGTATACCCGTTGTACAATATAAAATTCTTCCAGTTGCTGGATGAAAGTTTGAGTTAAGTCGAACTTGATGTCCCACTGTACGACCGACCTGTAAAAAATATGCAATATTTATTGATATCAATTGAATCGTACAAATAAAGTACATTCATAATTTCCTCCAAAAATAAAACATTAGAATTCAAGGTAGAGATAACTCAGCGATTCCAACCGACAACTAATAAAGTTTAAATCAAAATAGAATAAAAGAACTATCAAAAAATATTATGCACTATATCACAGAGTGTTTTAATACGCTTTGTTGAAATGTGTCATAAGTATAACTGTGTCAGTTCTAATGTATCAATACGATTGAAATACTCAAAAGTGTATACGAAGCTGCCAACCACTGAATACAGTGTTACACATTTCTAATGTACAAATACAGTATAATGCAAATGTATGGAATAAATTCATTATTTCAGAAACAGACGACTTTAAAAAAATCCGTCAATTTTTGAATGGCCATCAACTGCTATAAATATATGTGTTGGACAATACGTCATCAGTGTCGGCGTAATGACGTTATCGACGATTTTTTTTTAATACAAACCGAGGTCACGTGACAGCTCATTTTAAAGGTCTCCTTATCGCCTGTGCAACGATATAATCCTTTGAATATTTATTTCTACAGGGTTAAAAAAACTGTTGGTTTATTAATACAATTTACTTACAATAAATGTTCACTTAAATACAATTAAATTACAACAAATGTTCAAATTGACGACCTTCAGCAATACAATGTGAAAGATGAGTAATAAATTCTTTCCTAACGTTTTCGCAGGTGTTATTTGTGAAATTTCCGTTCTTATGCGATTTTGATACACTCTGCTCTTTAAATATCCCCACAAAAAAAGTCTAATGGAGACAAATCTGGAGACCTTGTTGGCCATGGATCGCCTTCCACCAATCCACCTACCTGGGAAAACGTTATTAAGGTAATTTTGTACCTCAACGCCGTAGTGTGGGTGAGCCCGATCATGTTCGTACCACAAATCCTTTCTATTTACAAATAGCTGATTTAACTATGGCAACAGATATATAACGAGAAGCAGTTAAGTTTTCCTGAAAAAATATTGCCCTACAATTTGATTGTTTATAATGCCGGCCAAACATTCACCTTCTCGGGATATTGCATCCTATACTCTTCCATCCGATGTGGATTTTCAGTTGCCCAGTATCGATATGTCTGGCGATTTACGTGACTGTTCAGAAAAAAGTGCTTCGCAGAATTCGATTCTTCTATCAAATTCATCTTCTAATAGCTCCTGGACCAAATGTACTTTGTATGGATGCCACGTCTTCTTTTTTAGCACTCTTACAACAGTTGATGGGAGGACATTATTATCTAGTGCGACCTGTCTAGAACTAGTATTGGGATATCTTGAAACGCCAGTACAACGTCCAGTTTCTTGGTTTCGGATAATGATTTTCTACTACTTTTGAAAAGATCTTTAACATGGCCCAATTTCTCTAATTTTTTTTCAATTTTACTTACTGTTGATTGAGTAATTGGTTCGCGACTGGCGGCGTATTTAGCATTAAATAAATTACGAACTTCTGCTTGAGTCCTCACTCTATCTCCATAACCAATCATGATTAAAATCTCGATTCGTTCTGCTTCTGTTAGTTTCATTTTTGTAAATGCTGTTATTAATGTCGGCAAAAAAACTCTAAGAGTAAAAATTTGACAACTATTATTTGACAGATTCACAGATTATTGACAAATAAAGACGAGTCAATGACAATATTGATTTAAATATTTTTGAAAAATAACTTGGAATACTTATTACAATAATGAATTTCATATTATAATGTAGCATTGTTTATTATCAATGTATTTTTTTCGGAACCAGCAAAAACACTATTTTTTTTATTCCCAGTTGCGTTCCTTAGTGTATTTTAGTTCAGTGAATGAATATTTATTGTAATTCCATGTTACTTAACAAAGTTCATAATTTTGGTGAACCCTGTAGAAAGAAATATTCAAAAAAATCGTCGATTACGTCATTACGCCGACATTGATAACGCAACGTCCAAAACATATGGATGGTCATTCAAAAATTAAAATTGAAGTGTTTTAAGATTTTTTTAAAAGTCATCTGTTTTTGAAATAATGAATTTATTCCATACATTTGCATTATACTGTATAGCACACTGCCAGTATTAAAATATGCAGGAGAAACTAAAAATACTGCGGAAATGAAATTTCTTAAGGAAGATTAGGAAAGGCAAAACACGACAGACTAGAAAACGAAATAATCAGAGAGAACTTATACCAAGATCCCACAATAAAAGTTATTGAAAAAAAACACCCTAATACCCAAATACACTTCATCTAATTTATATAACGATGCACGTCATCGGCGTCATAGCCTGTGACGTTACATGATACCAACACAAAATATTTAGGGTGTAGGTGTGTTCTTTTTTAGAATCACTTTACCGAGTACACTGGCATTACAGCCACTAGACATATTTTATTATATACGCGTAGAAATAATATTTAAAAATTTCTACTAATGTTAACTTAAAGAAATACACAATAATATGTTTCATTTAATTTGTATAAATGCATTATAAAGCGTTTTTATCAAGAACATTTGTTCGGAACACACTGTAACTGTAATCGAACGAAGCTAAAATTTTGGCATAAATTGGTAACACTTATTTGACAGTTGCGGTGTTGACACTTTTTGTACTTCATTATTTTGAATTTTAAAGTGAATATCTCTTGTTTTATATTTTTAACTATTTAATAAAATCTGTTCTTTTTAGAACAAAATTAGTGTGTTTTATTTCAAAAATGTCACGTAAGAATTTAAATAGTCGTTGTAAAGAGATGGTAATACTTTTGCAATAATTATGTAATCTATTTGATTTAAAATGGAGTCAGGATTTTTTTATACTTTGGCAACTATGTCAACTTCGATCTCTGACGTAGATAATGACGTAAGTCGTTATCTAAATTAGATGAAGTATAGATATAAATGGTCACTACAGTGTGTGTTCATATTCAACATAGCACTCATACAGGCGCTAGCTATAAAACCAACACATGGATAGCAGGTATTTCATTCTCTTTTAATTCAATAAAATATTGTTACGATAAATAAAATATAAATAATGAATAATATGACGTGTAAAAACTGTAAATACATTATGACTAATGACGTATTTTCTAGATCACGAACCGGCCGAGACGCAGGTAAAAAACCTACCTGACACTATTAGTCCCCCTTCGATATGAAAGCGGTCAACTACTACTCGATCTTTCTGGAAACAGGTTCGAGGCTATTCATTTCAACTTCCGTCTACTTCACGACAGATCCTTCCAGATAACGGCGTTTCAAAGAAATAACGGCGATTCTCATTGAGAAAAGTTAGTCAACAAGAAGACCGCGGATATCGCGTTAAATTGTATCGAACGCAAATAAATTATTTGTAATTATTAAGTGTAAAATAAATTAGTATAAAATAAAGACTTTTGATAAATTATCGTGAGTTTTAATAAATTAGAATAAAGACAATAAATTAGAATAAAGACTATAAATTAGGACTAATAAAATCATTATAATATTATTTATTTAATTTATATTAGTAGTGACTCCGGAATAGTTAATTTTTTGAGACATTCTTGACAGAAAAAGTTTAACGAAATGGAATCATTATTATTGTCGGAGATTTCAATATAGATGTTTCTAAAAATTCATTTTATTATACAAAACTCAAAAAAATCATTCTCTGCATGGGCTTTATCAACAGATTAATGTATTTACAAGGGTGACCAAAGATTCATCATCTATATTGGATTTATTAGTGACAAACGATAAGACCATTAAAATGGAATATTGACTGTGCCACAAATAGGTGACCATCACATGATGAAGGAACTCTAATATTGCATCTATTCATGCAACTATAACTTCTGATCTACTTAAAATAAAAACCTGGTTCGACTCTAATTTACTCTCTTTTAACGAGAATGAAGAAATTAGAAGCCTTCAAGATGTGGTTATATCGTAGAATGCTCAGAATATCATGGGTTCAACACATTTCAAACAGAGAAGTCTTGAACAGAGTAGGTCAAGGTGAAGGTGACTTAATAAAGATGATAAAAAAGAGAAAACTCGAATATCTGGGGCATATAATGAGAGGAAGCAGATACAGAATAATGCATCTCATACTCATCGGAAAGATCGACGGAAAAAGAGGAATTGTTAGGAAGAAATACTCATGGCTTCGAGGATGGACGATATCGGCAAATCGTCATGGAAGCTACTCACGACTAAAACTTGGGCACGTACTCAAAGAAGAAGAAACGTGGATAAGACAGTAGCATTATCCTAAAAAGGAGTTCTTCAACCCTTGCTTCTTAATAACAGCCAGATCAGCATCATTGATTCTGTAAAATTTCTTGGAAATTTTATAGACAGCAACCTTAAGTGGTCCCTTCATATCGATTTGTTAAGTACGAAACTAGCCTTAGCCTACTATGCAATAAGATCTGTTTCGATAAAATCAATTTAGCATCTTCCAAAATAATATATTTTTCCTTGTTCGAGTTTCATCTTCGATATGGTCTTCCTTTTTGGGGGTTTAGTACAGCTGACCAATCTGATGTTATTTTTAAATTACAAAAAAGAGCAATACGATATCTTATATATATATATATATATATATATATATATATATATATATATATATATATATATATATTTGGGTGTCACATGCAGCAACTTTAACTTATTAGTTCTTAAGATTTTATTATGCAATTTGCAATTTATTTAAATTTTGCAATGGATTGTGTATTTTGTTATCTTTTATTTTGTGATATTGACGATTTACGTAATTTTCGTAAATTTTAAATTGTTATTTTTCTAACTGTTTGCAAGCTTTGTCCATAAAATTGTACAATTTTCAGTGACAATAAAGCGTATTTCTATTCTATTCTATTCTGATACTGACAAGACTAGATGGTAAGGCCCAATTTGATCTTGTAAAAAATACATGTAGAAACTATAGCCAAATAATAACATAGAGTTTCTGACTAATCTGATGATATCTACCTGGGTGCACAATAATTCAGTAAACATAAATAAATTAGCCAATGAATATTAAGTACATTAAACAGACATGCTCCTATTCAAGAAAAATACACAAATTAACAATACTTACAGATTCATTTCGTTCACTGGAAACTCTTTCTGCCAAAGATATGGCTGCTATTCTTCTAGGTTGCGTAACGGCAATCATACCTGTCTTCCCATCTAAACCATCTCCTCTAGCCCAAGCCTCCAAAACATATTGCGGTATTCGAGTACTTTTGCCACAACCAGGTTGACCTCTGACTATAATTATTTGGTTTGAATTGAGTAAGTCTATAAACTGTTCCCTGGAAAATATATGTGTAATTTAATATTAATTGGTAAATTAATGCTGCTTGAATATTATAATAGTATTAGAATCGTTCAATGGATATAAAAGCCCCGATTTTATTTTTTAATGTCAACAGTCCATAGATACTTAGTAAGAGATGGGATTGTATTATTCAAGCAAATGATAAATCAAAGTAATTATGAGTCACAAAAACAAAAAAAAATATATTACAGTATAAGCTTATTAATCCTCTAAAATTCTTATAACAAAAAATCTTACTTGTATGGTGTTATCGGTAATGTAGTTTTTTCTTTCGCAATATATTTTTCGAAACCTAAGAATTTCTTTTTCACTAAATTTGGATTAAGTTCGTGTTCTTGTGCTATTTTTAATGACTCTGGTAAAAGATCAGATGAAGTTTCTTGCGATTTTAAAACAAACGGGTTCATTTTCGTTTCATATGTTGATATTATATTGTCCATAATTTCTAATGTATTCTTATTAAGCTGTATTTCTGGTATACTACTTTTTGTTAATTGTTTTACCTCTTCTTTATCGTAAATTATTGGAGATCCTGCAGCTGTAATTTTATTATTTGCTCGTAACCATGTTAAAGCTGAAAGTGCTGCTTTATCGGCAGCTACTTTTTTTCTGTGGTCTTTAGCTGTAAGAAAAGTAAATGTAAAAAATACTAATACTATTTGCAATATGTTAGGATTTAAATTAAGGATAAAAATATGATAACTCATATTGAAAGCACGCTAAACATTCTTTGATAAAAAACAGAAATTAGGTGGCTCTCATGGCCGCGTTTACAAAACCCTACAAACATTATTCTGAGAAACTGGATTTAGATCATTTAATAAATTTCATAAAGTTAAACAGACCTAAAAATGTCTTGTGTTACTTGAAAACTGCTAAGAATGTGAAAAGAACTTCGTATAATTCATTCAGATGTGGAGTAAACAGTATTATGTTTTGGAGTTCTATAGAACTCTAAAATATAATAAAGTGTTTATTCCAAATTTAAATTGCAGGTGCGACAACCATTTACCTTTGGCCATTATTTCTTTCACCTGTTTAACGATGAAATTCACAACAAGATGATGTAAATTATATATATGTTTATGGTCAAAACAAAATGGTTTAAGCTAAAATCCAACTAAATGTTCTTGTATTTCATTTGGTCATATAAATAATGTACTCTTGGATTCAGTTACTGAGAGATTTGGGTGTATCATTGGATTGTGCATTGACATTTAGAAGCCATTTTCTTAAAGTCTACATTGATGGATTGGAAAGCGTTCAGCGGAAGTTTCTAAGATATTTAGCTTTTAAAGCACATATTAATATAAGAAATACTGAAAATTACTTCATAGATTATTATGTAATGTCTCAATTTAACATTGCTATAATGAAGAACCGCAGGTTGAGAGCTGATATGTTATCTTTGTTTGAAATCTAAACAATGTTATTAATTGTCCCTCTTTATTAGCCAATGTATACTTAAACAAAATACATAGAACTCGACACGCTCATCATTTTCCCTTGTCGAGAATGCTCAGCTCTTGCAATGACCTCCTATTGGATCCATTCTGTCCAAACATTAATGTTTTCAAAAGGCAACTTAAGAATCTAATTATTAATCTAGATATGTGATATTTTTTAACTTTTGTGATTTGATATACTATTTTAATGTACAAATTTTTACTGTTTAATTGTTTCTTTGTTATTGTTTTGATGTTTATTGTTTTTTATTTATTTTTTTTATACGCACAACAGGCCGTTAACGCCTAGGGCATTTTTTTACAACATAATCGTAATATTAACTAATTAGAATTATTTTAAACAAAACTTTAACTTAAATATGTATATCCAACATTCTTAACTACTCTGAAGGACCTGGTGTACAATATTTCTCCATTCGCTTCTATTTTGTGCTTTTCTTTTCCAGTCCCTCATCTTCACATGTTTAAGGTCTTCCTCCACTTTACTAATCCACCTCGTTCTGGGTCTACCTCTTCTTTTGGGGCCGATTCATTTTCTGGTTATTACTAGTTTAGGCATTCTGTTTGCTGACATTCTTTCCACATGTCCCAACCATCTCATTATTTGTGCCTTGTCGAACTTGGTAATGATAGGTTCTTTGTATAAAGCCATTAATTCATTGTTGGTTCTTCTCTCCCAACCATCTTCTGTCTTCCGTCCTCCGAATATGTGTCCTCTTTCCAGATCTTTCCAGAGTATCCTCTTCCTTCTTATTTAATGTCCATGTCTCACCGGCATATGTTACTGTGGGTCGAATTAATGTTTTATATATTCTGAGTTTACCTTGCCTAGTATTTTGAGTTCAGTAGGGCTCTTAAACTACCTAATTTTTTATTCCCTTTTGCTATTCTGGCTTCGAGCTCCCATTTCCCTTTTCCATTTTCCAAATTTGTCCACCCTTTTAAAACTATAACTTTTACCAATTACAGACTTCACACTAAAGTCCTCTTTTTTCCCTTCTGTCCCTCCCATGATCATATATTTGGTTTTGTCTACATTTAGTTCCAATCCGAATTTATGTGCTTCTTCAATGATTTCCTTCACAACTCTTCTTAATTCTTTCTCGGTCTTTGATAGGATCGTTAGATCGTCAGCAAATGCCAAGCACTGGTGCTCATTTGAGATGAGCACATGATTTTGATGTTTATTGTACATGACCTTTTAAATGGTTCTACAGTTAAAATAAATAAAAATTTGAATATTTTAACTATAACAAATGAACAACTTACCTAAAAATTTTATCTCAACAGGCCACTTCAAACTGTATGTACATATCCATGTAGAACTTGCCCTGTTCGTTGGAATTGACTTGAAAGATGGCGCCAATTTAAATGAATCATTCTTTGTTTCATCTGCTACTACATTAAATATGTTATGTAATGTATTTTTGGGCATAGGAAATAATTTTGAAATATTTTTAATTTCTTCTCTTTCTGCATAATAGATTTGCTCTACCTATAAATTTTCCGAAATCATTTACTTCATTGTATTTACATTATTTACATATGTTCAAAAGTAGTGTACAGAGTGAATGGAAAATAATACACAAAAGTGTCACTATGTATTCAGAAAAAAAATTGAAAAATTAAAATATATTTTTGTTCACAGATCAGCCGTTTTCTTGATTTGTTATATAGCTCTTTCTAATAACCTATTTACTATAAATAAATAATATGAGAACATATTAATAGCTTTAAACTAAGTTGTAGATTTCACTATACTAAACAGAAGAACTTTTTTAACTTTTTGTATGTCATTAATTTAAAATATGTAATAAATAATAATTTTTGTAAAAAGTTACACTTGTGTGACTTTCAAAATATTAACATTTTTGACATATATGAATATTCGTAGAGTAGTCGCCCCCTTTTAGTTTCCAAAGTTTAATATTCTCCAACATGAAACAATTTAGAAACAGCTAATGGTGTTTTATAATGTTTCTATTTATGTTAGGCATAATATATAATTCAAAAGGTTGCTCTGCTGCAAAATTCATTTTATCATGTTTATTGTGTTTGTTTGATGTAAATAAATGATTAAATGAAAACCATTCAATAGTATAACAACCCAATAGGGTTGTAATACTCTTGAAAAAAATAGAAAATCTTACCAAACCAATACGATTAATATTACTTATTTATCTCTAATAAATGATTTTATCTAAAATATTATAGTAAAACATATACTATCGAAATGTTATAGACTACTGCAAAATATTTCTAACATGGTTACCACCACCTCCAATACACTTTTGTAATTATGTACTTAAAAACCGCCTGACTTAAACAAATGTGACCTTTGTTATTACTAATTTAACTAGCTGCACTGTCAATTCTACTCCATGATTAGTTTTGTGTATTAGAAGTTTAGAAAAACGAGGAAAGAAAAAAAATGATGGAACAGTGCTCTTATCCACCTGATTTGCAAAAAAGGCAACAACACGGAGTGCGAAAACATAGTATTGTTCTGAAGCTATTTTCTTGTGGCATTGTAAATTAATTATTATTTAACTGGGAATAAGCCACAATTAAAGATAAAAATACGTTTATTGACGTTTCAATTTCCACTTCGGAAATCGTTCTCTAACAAACGATTTCCGAAGTGGAAATTGAAACGTCAATAAACATATTTTTATCTTTAATTGTGGCTTATTCCCAGTTAAATAGTAATTAAGAAAACATAGTAGTTACAGCACTATTAGAAGTGATATACTTCTGATCAAATAAGTATGTTCTTATGTGTTTAGATTAGATTAGATTGTGTGAGGTCGTTAAGGCTATGCGGCCTCACTGCACTTCGACCTATAGAGATCTTTTGTGCATAACTTAATCTAGTTAAACTCTAGAATGCCAATACTTCTGATGAAATTGATTAGCTTCCTAGGTGACTTGTTTCCTATGTCAGAGGACGCTAGACTGACCTCTACTAGGAATTTTAGTCTTTTGCAGAACAGTGCTACGCAGTTGCATAGTATATGTTCTGCCGTTTCTCTTTCATTGTGACAGAAACGACAGTTCTCACTATCTGATTTGCCCATCTTCTTGAGATGATATCTCAGAGGGCAATGACCAGTGAGAAGGCCAGTGACCATTTTGACATCTTTTTTACTTATTTCGAGAAGGCGGTTTGTTGCAGTAGGCGACACTTTTATGAGCCTTTTTGCTTGCCTTTGTCCTGGTGTGTTAGACCAATATGATCTTAGTTGATTGAGTTCCAGGTACGGAGTTCCTCTCTGATGTGGCTTTTCGATAGTCCACAGAAGGGTTCCGGATCCTGGAATGGGGTATTAGCTCCTTCTTTTGCGAGGCTGTCAGCTTCCTCATTTCCTGCAATTCCCTTGTGACCTGGTACCCACATCACAGTTACATTGTTGCGTTCCGCCAGAGCGTTCCTCCAGCTTCTTGAGATATTGTTTACAGTCCCAAACCAACTTTGACTCACATGTAAATGACTTTAGAGCCTTTAAGGCGGCTTGGCTGTAGATGCGAGAAATGGGCAAAGAATGCGAAATATTAAACACAATAAAAATAAGAAAGTTACAATATCTGGGACACATAATGAGGGGACAGCGATATGAACTGCTAAGGCTGATAATACAGGGAAAGATAAGAGGAGGAAAGCATATAGGAATAAGGAGAGTGTCATGGTTGAAGAATTTAAGGGACTGGTTTAGATGCAGTTGTATAGAACTCTTCAGAGCAGCAGTAGATAAAGTAAAGATAGTGATGATGATATCCAACCTCCGATTGGGAGACAGCATTTAAAGAAGAAGAATATCCCTCTAGTTGCATCTTGGTCTAGTTCCTAGATATGCTGAAAACTAACTCTCTCAGCTTAATAACAGATTTAAGAGTCGGTTTTACAATATTTGAGTTATAAACACCTTTAACTGGTCTAGCATGTCTAGAATTGGATGATTAGTCAATTTTTGATAAAAAGAAGAACATGTTGTATGATGGACTCTTGTTAGTGTAAGCCAATAATATGAAATACTCCAAAAACCTGCTCTTTGTGATTAATATGATATACAAGAATATTTTAAGTATACTCAGGTATGTTATATACTATGAGATGTTGGGCTCTTTACACTTCATAATAGATTGAGTTAGCTGTATATCTTAAATCTACAGCTATCAGACACTTTTCATCAGTTTCTGAGTCTTATGTGCAAGCACTACAGTTGTTATTATAGCTTACCACAAGTTTAAAAAATAATCTTATAATATACCAATCAATCCTTGAAGCCATTTGTATGCCATTTTCATGAAACACTGTCTGGCTCAACTAAAAGACATAGTAATTATAATAATTAATGTACTATATAATACTCAAAATTAATTAAGCCTTCTTAATTATATAATATCTGACAGTATTTGTCTTAAAATTAATTTAAAACATGATTAGATTTTCTTTATTAAGCTTGTACTTTGTAAATTAATATCTGAAAAAACAGTGATCACTTATTTCTTCTGTTCAACATGGCATATACTTCATCTAATTTATTTACAGTTGCATGTCATCTGCGTCATAGTCCCTTAGGTAACATGATACCAACACAAAATATTTAGGCGGTAGGTGTGTTCTTTTTTTAGAATCACTTTGCAGAGTACACTGGCATTACAGCCACTAGACATATTTTATTATATACATGTAGAAATAATATTTAAAGATTTCTATTAATGTTAACTTGAAGAAATACACAATAATATTTTTCATTTAATTTGTATAAATACATTATAAAGCATTTTTATTAAGAACATTTGTTCAGAACACACTATAACTATAATCCAACAAAGGTGATATTTTGGCATAAATTGTTAACACTTATTTGACAGTTGCTGTGGTGACACTTTTTGTACTTTATTATTTTGAATTTTAAAGTGAATACCTCTTGTTTTATATTTTTACCTATTTAATTCTAATTTTTACCTATTTAATAGTTCTTTTTAGAACAAAATTAGCGTGTTTTATTTCAAAAATGTCACGTAAGAATTTAAATAGTCGTTTTAAAGAGATGGTAATACTTTTGCAATAATTATGTGACCTATTTGATTTAAAATGGAGTCAAGATTTCTTTATACTTTGGCAACTATGTCAACTTCGATCTCTGTCAATGATAATGACATGCAATGGTAAGTAAATTAGATGAAGTATATGTGACTTTATCTACAAGTTATCTCCAAAGGTAATAACATATTCCAGTTTATTGTTAGCTAGCTATTACCCCTATCTTCAGGCAGAAATTTACAAAAATAGCTGATTAATGAAGGAAAATATATTTTAATTTTAAGAATTGAACATGCTTTAGCTAGGAAACAAGTTATCTTAGATCTATTGTTATTAAGTAAAATATTATTTTTAGTTTCTGAACACTCAGATACAATAATTTAGACCATTCTTAATGAGTTACCCTGTGTACTGGTGGATTGGAGATTTTTGAGTTGTCAAAATCAGTTGTTAATATTTAATCACAATTAATAATATCTCAGAAATGCTCATAGAGGAAAATAAAAATGGTTAATATCAAATAAGATTGCTGTCTTAAAGAACTAACGTTCTCCAATGAGTCAATACACATGATGAACTACGAGTTTTTGAGTTCTAAATTCTGAATCTGACTGAAAGATAAAGGGCAATGAGGAAATATAAATGGCAAAGCAGATGAGAATGTTTGGCAGTTGTAACCTTTAAGGTATCATTGAAGACAAATGAGTTTTAAAAAAATTTAATATTAGGGGGCCAATAACATCTTAAAAGTGAACTGACTGGCAAGCTCAGTATCCGAGTTTATCCGAGAAGCTAGTTGAAATGCAAATACATTTTGAATTAAATTAAAAAAGAGAGACAAGTATACTCATGATGCTGTTCAGATAGTGAAGTACTAGAATTTAGCTTTTCACTGTACAAATGCATTAACTAAACATTTTGAAAATCTTTAATTAAAGTCGAAGCATAACTCTTGGTCAGTGATATTTTTTGTTTTTAATAAATTTCACAAATAATAAATAAAAATAACCAAGTTAAAACAAAATTACATTAAATTCTTTATTACTTACATTTACATAATTACAAAAATTACTTACTGCTACTTGTTTTATGGAGTTAATTTATTTATGCAGTGAGTGGCCCAATTATTAACTAAACAGTGTAAATATTTAGGAAAAACAAATAGTTATATAAAATCTAGAGAAAAAATATTTAAAAAAAGTACATACCTTGTTGGATTCAAAATCATCCAAAAAAGTTTGCTTTGGAATAGTTTCCTTATATTTATTTGTAAAATTTAAAAGGTTATCTATCTGTGGTTTCTTAGTTTTTAATTGATTATACTTTTCTTTGTCAGTGTTTGTAACATAATTTCGAATCCTTATTTTTCCATAAGTATTTGTATCAACCTGGCACGAACCTAAATATGGAGATTTTGTACCAATACTATTAAACAAAGCAGTAGAATTGTTTCTTCCTTGAAAGTATTGTGCACAGTTTATCCCTTTGATATATTTAAAAATCTAAAAATCAATGTAACTTTAATTGTCAGACAAAAATACTACTTAATATACTCACAGTATATTTCTGCCTATATAGTGCCGTTTTAGCAGAATTACAACACAATTGACAAAACATTTTAAAACTCAATTTTACAAACTTCGTATTTTATTTTAGAATTGAGGTTACGAACATTAGGAACAAGTTTAATAGGTTAAGTTCATTTATCTTCTTTTTTTGACTAACTAGCAAGCTGGCTAGCTGAAAATAGACTTTTTTATTGACATGGATGGTGTGTGTTCATAGCTAGAGCGAAATACTAATGACGTAAGACGTAAGTCAATTGTCAATTGGCTCTGTTCTGTTCTTTAGTTCTTCTGATTTCTTCTTTTGTTTTAAAAACTAGTAAAACTGTGTTGTAATGAATTTAAATCCTATTAACGAAGAATGTAGAGTATTTCTATTAAATGTTTCGGCAAAAAACTATTCTATTCTTAGCGATATTATTACTAATTATCTTTTTTATAACAACTAATTATCTTCTTGTTACTTTACCTACAGAAAGTGAGGTTAAAATAAGTTTGTCTATAGAAGATTTAATATATAAAGAGCTCCAAAATTTACCACTTTCTTATAAATACCAATCTAAAAATAATGACGAAAACCTAAATATATATTCCAATTTCAACAGTATTTCAAAACAAGGTGAACGTAAAATAGAAAAGCTATGGCAAATAGCCAATTCTTGGATAAACAATACTCAACTATTGGACATTAAAAGTCTTTATGTGGGAGATATTTTGTTTGCTTTACAACACACCAAAATTATTCAAGCCGATATTGATCCAAGAGGAACCCAACTTAAATTGTTGCTTACATTACAGGTATATATATATTTGAACAAATCATAGGATTTGTTTAAATTTCTTGTATAGGTAAGGCTATTAGCAAAGAATATAGATGCGTCTTTATTCTTTGCTATTAGTATCAAATTTTTGTAAGTCACAGCTTGTTAATTATTTTCTGGCCTAACTTACATCTTAAACTCTTCTCATTTTATTCCATATGAAAGTTAATAGTTATGTTCTTTTATTTGCTTTACATTCTAATAAAAATTAAATTTTAGGGAAACCAACAAGTAATATTTAAACCAAAATGGTATGACAGAACAAAAATTGTTGATGGACCTGTTTATGCAGGAAAGGATAGATATAACTCTGAGATCATAGCTTTTTATCTCTCAGTTATTTTAAACCATCCATTATGCCCAATAAGTGTAGAAAGACATATATCTTTAAAGGAGGATATTTTGCCCATAGCAACCAAGAGGTTACTTGATACTACTATAATTAAAAATAATAGAACTTGTGTATATGGGAAATGTTTTTATTGTAGCATTAATGATCCCATATGTGATGATGAAAACTCGTCTCTATTAGGGGCTGTGATATTTAATTTTAAGGCTAGTTTAATAAACCATAGATCACCATGGCAGAGGACATACAAAAAAGGCAAGAATGCTGTATGGCAAGAGTTTCCTGAGAGTTATTGCAAGTAAGATTTTGTTTATGGTAATAGTAACTATTTTTTTCCAACTATGTTTTGCAATATATCACAGCACATTCCACCACTGTGGGATATTATGTAGCTTGGGGAGTCACTGGTACCATCTTCTATAAGGCATGCCCCTTTCAAACTTAAACATGAAAATTCCTTACTCTAGGATGTGTGAGTCTGTGCTTTTTTGAACACACAGTTTTTGCATTTTGATAGTAGTGCTTTGTATTTTATCCATATCTCTAAAAAATATGGATAAAAACTACATGATAAAACTTTTAAACTCCCAAAAGGTCTTATCATGTAAAATTCAGTTTTAATATAATTTACTTTTATCCTCCATTTTTTACCAATCTCTGAAAACAAAACTTACTGATGTATCCATTATTCTACTAAAGTTTATTTACTTAATGCTGACTTCTCACCATAAAAGTATGAGTTCCTTCCACTTTACTACATTTTTTTTTCTCTTATTTAGATGTGTCATATTCATATCTGTAAAGCTAATGGGTAATGGGTGGCAACTATTAAAAGTTTAGTACCCCTTAAGCACTTTTTATTGTTTAGAAATTAATGCATTATCAGTGAATTAATATTTGTATCTTTTATTTTGCAGAATTGTTGAACATAAGATATCTAGAAAACGTTTATATGACTTAATAGATATTTCTCTATTTGATTTTATTATTCAAAATGGAGATAGACATCATTATGAAACTCTAGACAATACTGTATTATGGTTAGATAATGGAAAAGGGTTGGGAAATCCTTTTAAACACCATATTGATATTTTGGCCCCTCTCTATCAATGTTGCATGTAAGAATATTTTTATATTATTTAAATGGCTTCTAAATATAATAAATTTTCAAAATCTTTTATTACAATATTACCGCAATGTTATTTAAAATAATCTAAACATATTAAAAAAAAAAAGAAAGCAGTCATAGCCAAACTCTAATACCCTCAAAAAGAAAATCACTAGTTCTGGCTTTGCTCGAAAATATCTAAATGTCTTGTGATCAAAATTGTAAAGTCAAGCACTGGTCCAGAAAAATATGACATTGTATAATTTTTGATGCTGCTTTAACAATAGACATATATTTTTTTTTCATGGATGTTATCTGTTGTAAACCAGTTGTACTGCAGTCAGTTGGCTTATTGTACATTTAATATTGACATGTTATATTTATTCTTTTAGAAATATTACAATTATCTTTTGTCTATCTTACCTAACTGCTCTTGTGGATTCTCCCAATACAGGGTTATACTACCTTACACTGTTTTATGAGATATGACCAATTTTATTATGAAAAAGTATCATAATTTAAATTTAGATTTCTTCAGTGGTATTCTATATAGCAAGTTTTCTTCTGATTCTGTTGCTTAAATCATTTTCCCATTCTCATGATATTACATGTGTTTCCATTAGTTACACATTTGCAATAGACAATCCTTTTTATGTTTCCCAAATCATTTAATCATGTCAAATGTTTACTTTCCAAACATTATATCAGCTAGCTGTTTAGATTTTGTAATTCTACTCAGTGAGAAGCTGTTGTTTGAGTTTATATTTCCATGACACACTTGTTACACACATAATTCCCACAGTATGGAATGGTGAGGAAAATGTTTTAGTCTATAGTTGGATTCATGAGAATAGTTCAGCGTTGGCTCTTACAGATAATGTAAATCAAGCAAAAGAAAAAAAAATTGTGCTGCTCCGAGTTCATCGTCGACCTTGCCGCGGCAGGACCTTGTGCTGCTGCGAGGTCATCGTCGACCTTGGCGCGGCAGGACCGGCTTCAGATGCGAGTAAATCGATAGTGGATTGAAATACTATGTATATTCGAATTTAAAACACTTTTGTATTTCAGTATCCATTTCTAAGAAGGTAAAGTTCTGACGACTATCGGAAGGTTGGAGGTAATTCGTTACTAGTAATTTGGAACGTGAGGAAATTAAAATTTTTTGGATTAGATTAAGAATCTAATTAAGCAAAATTACTATAACATGCCTTCGGTGATATTTACCAAATTTATCTAAAAGAACCCGCCTTCATTGAAAAGCATTAATTCCTTTCATACTCAGGATTAAAAAGGAAAGGATTAAACAAACCGACGTCTATAATAAGTCGGTTCTTCCATATTCTATTAATTTCCCAATAAAATTTAACAACTCCAGTCCTTGATGTTCTCCACCTTGCATCTACGTCGTATATCTGTACTTCTAACTCTGTCTCATGGTGTTTTACCATAAATTTTTCAAAAACACAAAGTGTTTCCATATCTACTGTTTCTAACATCCTTTAAGGGATAGTCAAAATTAAACAGTATTCGAAGGAAAACCGATCACTAACATATACTTGCGGAATTCAAATACATTGCCTTTTTGTAAGTTTACTTTTCAATCAATTAACATCAAAAAATGTTTTGTAAGAATTTAACAAAAAAAAAATAAGTTTATCAGGAAAATTGGTGATTCATCTGATTATGAACATTATATTTTATTGTAATTAATGAGTATGGATTAAGTTTGTAGTTAAGAAGTATTCTGAGAGTTAATGATATACCTATGCATGTAGTCTTTTAGTCGACTCTCGTAACACTAATTCTGAAAGGACTTGCATCCATCCATGCTGTGCTATGTTTTTTGTCATTTATTTGATGTCTAAAACCTAAAACGTTTGTTCCTATCAATCCAGTTTATTTTTCGCAAGAATTAATTGAGCTTGTTATACAGAAAAAATAGCTCACAGAAATTTTAAAGCATCAGCCAACTCATATGAGGAATTTTTGGTGTTAAGAGAAATATGTAAATCATTACAAGTAATATGTTATACGAATTATTTAGAGAATATTCAAACACATCTTTCAAGTAATTCCCGCTCTTTTTGGAGGCATGTTAACGTGGGTTAAGTGCTTATCATAATGTAATGTCTTATAAAGGTAGGAATGTAATAGCTCAGAGTTGTGATGAAATAGTCAATCTATTTGCCACTTATTTTTCAGGTCCATATAATGATAGTGACTATAATTTACCTAATTTTGAATTGGACTATAGTGTGGATTTCCAGATTCTGAAATTTAGCCTGACTGATGTTTTCGAGGGAGTTATGAGTTTAAAAACTACATATTCTTTAGGGCCTGATGGTATACCTGCAGCACAAATTAAGAACTGTATTTTTTCCCTTTGTAAACCTTTACGACAAATTTTATCATTGTCATCATCTGTATTTCCACAATATTGGAAAAATAGTTTTCTTACACCTATCTATAAATCTGGCAATCGTGAGTGTGTTAACAATTATAGAGGTATTACTATTCAATCAGCAATCTCGAAACTTCTTCATAAATTGGTATCGATAAATCTTACCTGGACTTACAGAAACATAATTATTGATGAACAACATTGAGTTTCTAATAGGAAAGTCAACAGTAACAAACTTATCAATTACCAACAATACTTGTTGGGTGCATTTGAGAATAAAATTTAGGTCGACAACATTTACACTGATTTTTCAAAGGCCTTTGACTAGGTTAATTATAACCTTTTGGTCCACAAACTTCATGCATCTGGCTTTGGTGACCTCATTGTTAGTTGGATTAAAAGTTTTCTGATGGGACGTACACAGCAAGTTCATATTAACAATTATATTTCAATAGAATTTCATTGTTCTGGTGTACCACAAGGGTCTCATTATGGTCCCTTGTTCATTGATGGTCACTTTCTGATATTTGCTAATGATCTTAAGTTATTTTGTTGTATACCTGATAAATCGAATAGAGAGCTCTTGCAAGATGATGTAAATAATATATGTTTATGGTTGAAACAAAATGTTTTAAGCTTAAATCCAACTAAATGTTCTTGTATTTATGTTCTCTTGGATTAAGTTACTGAGATTAGGTGATTTGGCTGTATTATTTTATTGTGCATTGACATTAAGAAGCCATTATCTTAAAATTAAGAAAACATGATTTCGTAATCTTGGTTTTATTTCTCGTAACAGTCATGATCTGTCACCTATTAATTGTATTCAAATTTGTCATCAATTCTACATTGATGTATTGGAGAGCGTTCAGCGGAAGTTTCTAAGATCTTTAGCATTTAAAGCACTAATTAATATAAGAAATACTGAAAATTACTTCATAGATTATTATGTAATGTCTCAATTTAACATTGCTATACTCAAGAACCGCAGGTTGAGAGCTGATATGTTATTTTTGTTAAAAATTCTAAACGTTATTAATTGTCCCCCGTTATTAGGCAATGCGTACTTAAACACAATACATAGAACTCAACACACTGCACACTATTGTATTCCCTTTCGTAGGGCTGATTATGCTGGTCATTTACCCTTGTCGAGAATGTGCAGCTTTTGCAATGACTTCCTATTGGATCCATTCTGTCCAAACAATGTTTTCAAAAGGCAACTTAAGAGTGTAATTAATCTAAATATATATATATATATATATATATATATATATATATATATATATATATATATATATTTTAATCTTTTGTGATTTGATATACTGTTTTAATGTATAAATTTTTACTGCTAAATTGTTTCTTTTTTGTTGTTTTGATGTTTATTTTACATGATTTTTACTTTTATTATTTTTTGTATTTTATTATAAATGATTCTACCGTTGAATAAATAAAATAAAAATGGTTTTAAAATACTTTGTTTTTAAAAATATCTTAGAAATATTCTATTCTTTATTTATTTTTCAGAATGAGAAAATCAACAATGAAAAATCTAATGAATTTGACGGGAGGAAGGCTTACAGATAAATTACAAAAAATGCCAAACATTAAAAACTTAATAACAACCGATCACCTTCAAGCGATGGAAGATAGACTTCTGCTTATTTTTGCAACTATTGAGTATTGTAAAAAATATAAAAAATCTCAGGCTTAACATCAAAAATTGTTTATGTAGCTATTTAATAAAAAATCGTTCATTAATTTATTAGTTGCAACAAAACATTTTTCATTAACAATTTTTTGCCAAAAAAGTATTTTAATTGGTAGAGATAATCATCAGAAAAAACAGCGGGACTAGAAGTCAGAAAGTTGATATTTATTATTTTATATCTGAAGCCTTTTCATTAAATTCGTCCATCTTTAATTTAACGGATCTTTTGGAATATTTAGATAAGTTTATATCGACTAAAACACATATTGAAGTATGCTAACAGTGTAGTGCTGTAAATTTGATATGTAGATGGTCAGATAATGAAAGTAAAATCAACTTTTTCCAAGGAGATATTTAAAAGTCGTTTAGTTTATTTAAATAATGGACAATGCGTTTAAACTGTTTTTTTTTTTCTGGTGTTTCAACAATGGTCATATTCTAGGTTACTCCTACTATTGTGAAGACAATTTTACTGATTTCATCGAATGTGAGGCGATGGTAAAATTTTGTGGGAGATAAATTTCAGGACTAATAAGAAAAACTTATCGAAACTTGTCGGGTTCAAAATTTTATTTTATGGATCAAAAGCAATATTTGTCAGTTCATTTATATGGCAGCTAGAAGTCTATCCTCTCGGCGTAATATTATTGTCAAAATGTAAAAACTTATATAACAGCAATAATATATGTCATCAATATTGTAAACACAGTATACTATGTACATATCAGATAGAACTTTCGGTTTTTGTTTTACAAATGTAATTATTGTAAATGAAGAAATATATTTTCTTATTTTTCTGTTTTTGTCATTTTTTTTTCAAAACCATAAAAGAACACCCTTTTGTGAGTTGTATTAACTGACTTTCACAATAGAAGACGAAAATTATAGATTCATTTTGAAATAAATTATTAGTATTTCTTTCGAACTTCTTGAAAGCCAGTTCAGTAATCATTGCTAATTACTGAAAAAATAGACAAACAAAACTGATAAATTGAAAACATTGTAGGGTAACTAAACTTGATATAATTACTGGACAACTTATTGAAATATTACGTACTTCTATCAAAGTCAGTTTTGGAAATAACTTGGCTGGAAAGATAGTTTTCCAATGAACTATTGCTGACTGGAAAAAATGTAAGGCAAAAAATTCAGTTAAATGATACTGATTGAAACCAATACATAAATCAGAATGGTAACCTATTACCTAGTAAATATGTATTGAAAAGATGCGGGAGCGGAACAGACGAGAGGAAAGAGGAACCACCAACGATTTTTGATGTTAAAGACACAAAAAACTAGCCAGTAACAAATCAACCGGAATAGATAATCTTCCAGCTGGACTATATAAAGAAGGTGGCCACTATACCATAATGCCACTACAGCAGCTCATAAAATAAATTTGGACACAGAAATCCCTCTCCAATGATTGGAATACTTTCACCATACACAAAAAAAGGAGATATCTTTGAACGCTGTAATCACAGAGGGGTTACGCTTCTAAAATATTCTCCACTATACTATGCCACCATATGCAGAACGAATGGTAGCAAAATACCGGGCTGGTTTCAGAGGTGCTAAATCGACAATTTATCAGATTGCAACCTTGAAATAAATTTAAAAAAAACACTGGAATATGGCGTTGATCCTCATCACATATTTATAGACTACAAAGCAGCCTACGACTCTGTGAATGGAAGAGAAATGTTCAAAGCAATGAAAGTGCTAGGAATACCAAATCAGTTGGTAAATTTAACAAAACATCTTGAATGTAGAGTACGAATTTAGTAGAAACTGCCTGTCTGAACCTTTTAAAACAAATAAACGGCTGCGCTAGGGAGACCCTCTCTCTTGTATACTGTTCAATTTGGCTATGAAAAAATTACTACTTATGGCACAAATCACAACCATTGGTTCAATATATAATAAATTAGTGAAAATATTAATATTAAAAGTGAAACTGGAACAAACCATGAAGTGGAGATATCCAGGAGTGGCTAGTATACTTATACAAAGCACGTGGTGTTCGTGTGTATTAAGGTATAAAAAATGCTTATTAAAAGCTTAAAATGTTTATTTTAAAGATCTTTTCGGAATTGAATCATTCCATCATCAGTTTAATAAAAAGTTATTAAAAAAACATTGTATGGCCACATAAAAACATTGGAAGGACATCCGTATTAAAAAACAATCCTCATGGTATTTATAAAGATAATTGCAATAGACTGTTAACAGTCCTATTAGAGAGAGATCCTATCACTTATAACCAATATCCAATTTTTTGACTTAATTGCTCTATTTAAAATGTCATTAGTCACCTCAGATGTATTTACACTATTTAACATTTCCATAATTTTACGGCTTCTACTGTTCATGATTGTTCGAAATATTATTATTTCTCGTTGTGAAATTGGCATCCTCTCTGATGCCTTCCGAGGTCTGTCTACCGAGCCCCCAGACACTACTACACTGTCACTACTACGGCTGGGAACAGGAGACGGTTCATTTATACCGTCGATGATGGCGTGGCCTAGATGGGGGTTGGCGCGAGAGTTGGCACTGGGGTTGGCGCGAATATTTCCGACTGTGAAATTTTGATTCGAGGGTGGAGGGGGCGATATTTTCTTTATGAGAGGTCTCCATGTAGAAGGTAACCGTATGGCGTCATCTCTTTTATTAAGACAATTTGGCCAATTTTTCTATTTCTATGGCTTCTCGGATAATTCTTGGTTTATAGATATTTTATGACCTGTTTGAAGAGGGTGTTGACCGAGAGCTGAAATTGAATCAGAATTGCGAACAGAAATGGAATGTTCATAAATCCTATTTTGGATTCTACTATTTGTTTGGCCTATATAGGATCGGGGACAGTCTACACAAGGTATTTCAAATCAAAGACAATATTGCAAATGAACAACACGGAGTTTATGAAATACCTTTTAACTATACTCTTTTAACAACTGGTCTACTACTAAACAACATAGACTATAGAAAAACACATGCGCGCATTGGAGTTAGAGCATATGAAAATTTAGATCAGATGGTGATTTCTATAGGTCTTTTGATAATTGCAGTTTTATAATTTTTTTGGAGTTACGGCTTTTTCTGGACGTGTAGAGATCAGATGATAGTAGCTATAAACACTAAAATGTAAAAATATGATTTTTGGGGAGTTAAGACCTTTGATATGTCAATTTTCATGATTTTTGTTGATACTTTTTCTAACGTATTTTTTCGAGAGAAATGTTTGTTTAGTTTATTTATTCTTAAGTCTTCTTCTACTTCATAAGTTTCAGGTTAAAACTTATTGGTGCCCATTTTGTTTTACAGTTAGCTGTCGTGTTCTTTTTCTTTGTCAAACTGTTATTCGTTATCTAATTAATATCTAACGTTTATCTATCTATTTTGATCTACAATTTTTTACCATCTATATCCTTACCCACCCCTAATAAAGCGCCCTGACTTGAGCAACGTGGTTTTTGTTAAATATTGTGAACGAAAAGCTATTTATTATTGACTGTTATCAGCTTTTTTGCGACACATTCTTGACTATAATATTCAGTAACAGCATTTATAATCTCTCCAGTTATAAGAACAGAATTTTATGTGGTCAATTCTAATCAAATATGAGTTTGGAAGGGGAATCGGAAATTAAACAACTTAAGTAATAAATTATATATATCAACAAAGTAAATCCTGACAATAATTAATATATAAAAAAAATGATAAAAATTACAAAATATTACATACCTTTCAATGAATCAGTACTTAAAACAATAGACTTGTTTCCTTATTCAATACTACTACCACTAAGATAGTCTTACTCCAGGTTTACAAATCAATGACAAATGCAATGTTCTATTTTTCTATATGTTTAAATAAAAATTGGTTGGAGAAAAGTCAAACAAAAATTTGTTTATTGGCTTTTATACAGAGTGGTCAAAATATAAATTGTAAATAGTTCAACGATTGTTTAAAAAATAAATAAAGTTAAAACAATATACAAACACTTTTTGTTCATATTGTCATGACTTATATTAATTAAAAATATTCATGTGCTAACATGTGATGCTTCCCTAAAACGACAGTTTTAGAATAGTGATTACACAGCTTATCTACATGCACATTAATTTATAAATTAAAACAAACTTAAATAATAGTACATCTTAGTAGTACGCTTTCATTCATCTAATTTCTCACTCAATATAACCAAAGAAATGTATAAAAAATTGTAGATTTATATTACTGTCCAACAGAACTACCAACAAACTTATTTTTGTACTGTACTCAATATCTCGCAACCAAACGTTTCCTATGAAAATATTAACAGTAAAGTCACAAACATCTGCAAGTTCTAAATATCAAACATTCGAAATAGATCTTGTATACAAAGGTATGCAAAATTATTTCTGAAACTGAACCTAAGTTGATGTGGTAGTAATGGATTTTGGTTCAAATAAATTGAAAAACCTAATTAATCAACAGACAAATTTCATTTGATGCTTGTCTGAACTTTTTTATAAATCCAGTGGTAGTATTCAACAGCCTTTTGTTGTGTCGTATTAAATGCTTCTACAACCACTCTCTGCATGTTTTCCGGGGAGAGTTGGCCCCTAAAACAGAATGGATATATAAAAATTTTGGTTTCTTTAGAACGCCAGTACATTTTATTGAAAAAATCATTTTGTATTTATAACTTTGGAAACAACACTTTGTATTTATCTTTGTACCTAAATTTTTTAATGCTAAAAAATGAAAATACAGCAATGTAATAAATTATGGAATGTCACAATATATGAACTAAAGACCTAATAGCATATGCAGGGTACAGGGAAAAACGGAGGGTCTAATGACGGGCGAAAATAAGATGATTAGACCATATAGTGGCACAAACTGGATACTATTTCAAAGAGGTTAGTCAGTCATGTAACACATATTTTTATATTTGTTATACAGAGTAAAAAAGGTGGCATATCCTAGCGCTACAAGGAAAAAAGGAGGGATGTCAATGTGACCGACGCCGACGAAGCGGTTAATACTTTTAGTTTGTACGTGGTTCAGAGTTTTTAGAGGTTATGTATGTTTGTTTAATAAACCTGAAAGGAGAGTTATCAAGTTGTAAATATGTCTAGTGAGAGTGACGAATTTATGAAAAGTGATGTTATGGACACCCGAGAAAATAATGCACAGAAAGAAAGAAAATATGAACGAATTCATGAAATAAATAAAAAAATAAATAGACAAAGCCATGTAATTGGACCGGATTGTAAGTGCGCTAGGTTTAATGTTTTCTACAAATACCGGAACAAGCAAGAATTCAAATTATTAGATAGAAATTTCAACCTAGTGGAGTCAATAGATGCCCAAAATATATACTTATGCTGATTAATTACTTTACAAACTTTACAGCAACGAAGACCACGAGTATCAAATGACTCTGCACGTCTTCATGATGTCGCCTTTAGTTACAAAATCCGTTATAATGTAAATGACAAAACACAAGAAGTTCCAGTATGCACAGAAGGCCTTTTTGACATTATATGGAATTGGGAAACAAGTTAGGAAGTTCTACAAAAGTCACTAAAATTGACAGGTCACGCTCCAAAAGATGCTAGAGGAAGACATGGAAGCCATCGCTATCAAGTTTCTATGGAAACAAAAAACTGTATAATGCAGCATATAGGGTTTTTCAGGGACAGAAAAAGTCATTATAGTTTGAAAGACTGGTCGAAATTATACTTATCTGAGGATTTAAATATTAACAAAATGCACACAATGTATGTAGAAAAATTTCCAAACATGTGTACTTCATACGAAACATTCAGAAGTAGAATATTAGTATAGCCCGACAAGCGAGAGCTGGCGGGTGAGCTGCACGAAAATAGAAAAGGAATTATTCTAAGAGAGATAGTAGAGGTACTTAATCGCGATTATAGGTATATAGTATAGGTAGTTCAACGGTTATACACGATATGAACTTCTAGCCGACTGCAATAGAAATGAGCAATCCCTTCCACATTTTAATTTGTTCTACGCGCAACCCGCCAGCTCTCGCTTGTCGGGTTATACAAATGATGTAAGAGACAATTGAGTTTATACTTGTTCAATATACTCGTTTTGTCCACAGCTGAGTCCGTATCGAAAAGTACGAAACTTGAATATTTTCTGCGACTCGTGCGGAGGACACAATAAAAACTACACTGTTCTTCGGTTTATTCATAACATACTTCATCGTAAGAAGAGACTGGACACTATCCAAATAACTTTTCCTGTTATGGGACATTCCTACCTGGAATGTGACAAAGATTTTGGACTTGTCAATCAAAAATCAAAAGATGGACACAAGTGTATAAAACTGCTAGACGAAAACCATCACCGTTTCATGTTGACGAATGTCCTCAAGAGTATTTTCGAAAGTGGACTAAACATTTACGCAAGTATTATAAAAATAAATGCCCTTTTCTAACTCAATCCATCCGCGAGGTAAAAGCTGTTAGGGATCATCCTCATCTTTTGTACTACAGAACAACAAATGTGTGTTTGTTTACACACAAGCTTTGAAAACACGGGTTGAAAACGCTGAAGAAGAGAAATTAGCAAGATGGGAGGGGAAAACTCTAAGATCAATTGATGAAGAATTAAACATACACAAGGGACGAAGAAGGTTTAATACCAAACTAATCCAACCTTTTAGTTACAAAAATATTTATACTTACACAAATACTTCATTTTTAAGATAGTCTACACCTCTATTGAAATATAAAACTGATGTTACATACACTTCACTTATGGCTTTTTGTGAATTCTCAACTAGTCCTGGTAAATAAGCCTCAACCTGAAATTAAGATATGATATTTTTGTAAAATAGTACTACGATATATGAAACAAAATGTAGTTTCCGTATTGTATTATTATAAAATAGAAATATTGAAATTGATTCCACACCATCAGTATGAGTATATAAACCAATTAAAAATACAAACATAATATAGTCACAAACCGCCACACTACAATTTAATTTCTTTTTATTTTAGGACATTTTGTGAAACAACCAGTATAGTCATTTATTTTTTTGCTAAATATTTCTCACGATTATTATTTTATGACCTCTTTGCAAAATGTATGCGGAAATAAAAAATCCCGTTAAATAGTTAGTACTTAATATTAAAAATTTATTTAGCAAGGTTCTGAAACTACTTTCTTGTATGTTAATCTTTCTTATGTTTCTCAAAAAATGTTTTTACACAAATTCTGAAAAATGTATAACCAAAGTTTTTGTTATTGGTTATGTCCAGTATTTAAATATAATGTACGGCCACAACCACAACAAATAATTGTGGTTTAAGGTTTAAAAGGTAAGAGGGAAAGATGCTGCACGTTGAAGCTAGAAAAGTGGGCCAGACTGTACGAGTTAGACTGCGTGAGTCAAACTGTACGAGTTAGACTGCGTGAGTCAGACTGTGGGGAAGGAGGAAATGCTCGCCTGGGAGAGATGCCGTACTAGGAGCGATGAAGGTCTTGCTTCGGAAGTGATTTACAGACAGCGGCCATTCCGCTTTCGGATCGCTGGATGACAGAGGAGGGTCTGGTTTAACAGGTCGGCATTCGGCGTAAACTCGGCGACGAGAAGGCATTTTAAAGTACCTCGGGAACTATCGCCAGGTGTACGAAGAACGAATCTTGCATTAAGGTCAGTCAGGTGGCGTCCTGGACTGAGATGTCTTTTGAAGATTCCAGACCCCCTCTATAAAGACGAAAAAAAAAAGATAGATCAATACGTCAGAACTGCGTCACATTTATCAAAAAAAGACAAAACTAAATCTGGAGAAAAACATCAAGCTTCGGTTTCTAAGTCATTTCAGTCAAGTTCTAAAGAAGGAAAAGAACAAGATACTTTTAATGAAGACTTGTGCCGTGCATTAATCACTTCAAACATACCGCTTTCAAAGTTATCCAATGAAAGCTTAACTTTTTAAAAAATATATTGTAAATTGAATATTCCAAGTGAAAGGACTCTAAAGAGAAACCATGTCAACTCGTTGTACTCGTCAGTAATAGATAATATAAAAACTAATATTATTGACAATTACTTCCACGTATGTGTTGACGAAACCACTGTGTCGTCAGGAAGATGTATCGCTTTAATCGATCAGATCATACTAAAACCATATTTACTTGCATGCAAGCAATTAGAAAAAACCAACTCTGGAACAATATTACGCTTTGTACAAGAATATCAAAAAATTTCTTCCTGCAGCTGTTCCTAGCCGTAAGTTATTGCCTTTTTTATCCGATGCTGCTCCATATATGGTCAAGACAGGTCAAAATTTAAAAATATTTTATACCAACATAATAAATGTTACTTGTTTAGCACATGGAATGAACAGAGTTGCGGAAGAAATTACAAAAAAGTTTCCTTTTGTAAACTCCTTGGTATCCAACATAAAAAAAAAATATTCCTTAAATCTCATATAAGAATTCAACTTTACAAAGAAATACTTTCAAATATTTCACTTCCACCAGAACTCGTTCTAAAACGATGGAGAATATGGTTGGAAGCCGTTTTTTTAATTAAAAAAAAAAACGGCTTCCAACGGAATTCTTCAGCAGCAAATTTCATTCAATAAAATTTTAGTTTGCTTAAAAAAACTATTAACTCATCAATTAGAATCATCAAGCTGTCCTTGGTAGAAATCATAGCCCTAATAAAAGAAATTTGATGAGCTTGTGAAAATGTTAAAGGTGACATTGGAAAAATTTGAAACAATAATTCCAAAAAACAATCGTTTTCAGAAACTAATTGGGGTAGCTAACGTTTTTGTTGGTAATTTTTGCGAAGAAATAGATTTAGCAGCAAATATTTTTGTGAATTTAAAATATGCTGGTTGATGTGGAAAGAAGTTCCTCAATTTACAAATGTATGTACACAGATAGAAGCCATAAGTTTTTATTGGAAAATTTTGAAAAACATTTGGTCATTTATTGTCTTTTCATAAGTTGGCCTTTTTGGTCAGTTTTCATAAGTTGGCACACCTGCTGTTCCTCTTTTGTCAACTGTTTTAGCAAAAAAACAACATAACCTCAAGACCTTATTAGTATATTATTCAAAACACGTGCTTTTTGTTTTATATCATTATTATATTTTGTTGTATCTCAAGTTATGTGCATGTTGGTATTATTTTCATTGATTTAACTGTGCAATCAGGTTTAACTTTTTAATATGGATATCACTCCTAGGAAAAGAGAAAGAGGCATAACACTTAGTGAGCATACACCAATGACTCAGAGGAACATTGCAAAGGAGTGTTGTGTAAGTTTGGGTGCAGTAAATAAAATAATTAAACAAAAAAGGAAACAGGGTCAGTTGAAGTGAAGCGGAAAGGAAAATGTGGAAGAAAACGGAAGACTACTCCTCGAGATGAAGCTTTTCGTTTGCGCGATAGTAAACTTCATCCCAGAAAACAAGTTATGACCTCCAGCAAGATTTAGAAAAGACTAAATAAAAAAGAAATAAAAATTCACGACTCAACAGAACGCAGACGTCTCTTAGAAGGAGGGGGAAGAGCAGTGAGACCGCAGAAGAAACAACTTCTGACAGCGCCTATGATGAAAAAAAAAAAGACAAAATTGGACAAAAAATACGCTCATTGGAGTGCAGAAGATTGGAGAAAAGTGTTATTTTCTGATGAGACGCACTTCCTAGTGTAGGGTCAGCGATCAAAATTTGTGCGAAAGGCAGCCAATGAGTCACTTTCAGCTAGCCATATTAATCAAACAGTTAAACATCCCACCAAAAAAATGTTCAGTGGCTGTTTTTCATACTCAGGAACTGACACTCTTATTCCTATTAAAGGTATGATGAACAGTGAAAAGTACAAAGCCATGCTAGGGCAACGCTTAGCTATAGAGCCTGACATAGTACTGGCTGAAGGGACTGCAATTTTTCAACAAGATTCAGCTCCGTGCCATGCATCGAGGGTTATGGTGAAATACTTCAAGGATAATAATATTACCCTTCTTGATTGGCCTGGAAATTCACCTGACCTTAATCCTATTGAAAATTTATGGGCAATATGTCTAAACTGGAAAAATTTGACTGTACGACAAAAACAAAAATAGTGGAAGCAGTGATTAAGGTGTGGTTTAGAGATGAAGCAATCACAAACAATTGCAAAAAAACTTGTGGATTCCACGCCTAGAAGACACCAGGAAGTCATAAAAGTAAAAGGGGGACATATTAAATACTAATTAATGAAAAAATCTCATGTAAGTGTACCTAAATTTACCTTTGGCCTAAATAAATCATATTTACAAATTAATTGTTTGTTCCTATTAATTCGCACAACACTGTATGTTTCCATTGACAGTATGCATATTTTCTAAAAAAAAGTGCATCTTTAATGCATATTTCTAAAAGAAATGCATATTTAATTCATATTTTTGGGTAAATTTGTGCATATTTTTCACTTTTTCTTGCATATTTGCTAAGTCTATTAATGACTATTGAGAGACAACAAAGATTATCAAAATGTGTATTGGATTATCAATACTGTGAAGGCACTGAGGAATAATTTAGATAAACTATAATAGTTCAAATAAATTATATCGACTAACCTCTGTACAAAAATTATTTCATTTGACTTTGTTAATTAGATTTATTTTTATTATTAATTTGTTATTAATTAACGACCATCGACTTTTCGGTGGTTAAATATTTGTTCTATTTTACTTTATATACATATTTATTGAATTATTTTTTTTTCAACTTAGCGCAAGTTAGTGTGCTATTCGGTACACAAAAAAGGTACCAGAGTCAGTGATATGCTTCAACCACTAATTTAATTATCGGTGGTTTTAATCGAAGGTACTCGTTTTATTCAGGCTGAGTCGACCTTGGAGATGTTTAAAATATCTCAGAATCAGGACATCCCACATAGTCTTTTTGCCATTTGGGCTGACAGACCGAATAAAAATACATTGTTCGTGTCCAATAAAACAAAAGTATAAATAATGTTTCTATTTTTTCAAATAATGTATTTTATAAACAACGAATTGTTACTTCCCACTAAAAACAATTCCAATAAAAAAATTCCTTAATGAATATTTGTAAAATATGCGATATCATCTAAGTAAATATATACCGAAGGCAACAATGCGTGAACAATCATTTCTGTATCAGCAAATGTTGCAAGCTACACGATAAAATCCTGTTTCCTTTGATCAAGATAACTTTAATTTGATAAAACATTCGTAAAAATAAACATACAATTATAATGACAAAAACGTTCAGTATAATTATAAATGTTCGTTTTCGAATCCAATTTTTGGTATTTTCCCTTTTGCTTTTCCAAATACTTAGTATATTCAGTATTTTTATAAGAATATTTCTGAATATCTTATCAGTTTCATTTGCCCTTAATTATACAAAAAGTTTCGTTATGATTATTGTGAAGATTACATGAGTTTTTCATTTGGTTCATGTTCATGTTTGCTTTAACTTTTTACATAATCCTTTCAGTGGTTATATAGTTAGGATGGATGATTAGACATCTATTTCTTTTTTCTTTTACTAAACGAAATAAAATTTTTACTAAAAACTAATTACTTTTAGGATTTTATTTTGTGTTTTATAGTATAACTCTTCAATAGTATCCAGTTAACATTTCAGAGTGATCGGATCAAAATTGAAGAAGTTATAGGCATTTATGAGTGAATGAGGTGGGTAAGTGTGATAATTGTCTGTACTATACTCTATATGCTATCTTTATTGCCAATATTTTTTGCATGTGGTTTTTTTCTCCCTATTCATATCGGCCCTTATCTCGTACAAAGAGAAAAATGTTGTTCCAAACATGAATATATCATTCGTATAAAAGTGCTTGTATTGGCTTTATCAGTTGTCAATAGGCTATCCAGAAATCTATTTATCACAAAAACATTATACCGCAAAGACGTTTAAAACTAGTGCAGTTCGGGCAATTACTTCATTGGATCCAACAAGGCATAACTCAACAAGAGGTTGCCATGAGGCTAAATGTGTCGCAAAGTGTGATAAGTCGTTCATGGAATCGGTATGTAGCAACTGGATCTGCAACATACAGGCATGGAGGAGGAAAGGAACTATCTACAACTCGTCGGCAAGACCGTTTTGTAGTTCTGATGGCAAGAAGAAACCCAACATTCACGGCTTCCAGAATTAACAGTATCTTCAGGCATGCTACTGAACGAGCGATTTCCAGTCAAACTGTCAGAAGACGGTTACAAGCATCCAATTTAAGGGCTATACGGCGCGCTACCCATCCACGACTAACTAGGGAGCAGCGTGCATGCAGATATCGCTGAGCGATGGAACACTATGAGTGGAATTTCGAAAATTGGATTTATTGTCTCTTTACTGACGAGTCCAGATTTCGTTTGTATACTGTTACGTGAAAATTAGTCATATTTACAAAAAAAAACCTGTAAACATGTTGTTTAATTCTTATATATTCTAGATTTGACTTGATGGTAGAAATTCCAGCTATTTCAGATGTTCAGGTCAACTTCCGTCTGCTTCAGAGAGATCCTATGCTGAAGACATTTAATATAAATAACAGGATTTTTATTGTGGGGAATCCAGTTAGTAAGAACATAAATTCGGGCTCGCGTATTTAAATGTACGTCGTAATAAATTATTGTAAAATAAATTAGTATTAATAAAGACTTTAATACATTTGTGAGTGTTATAAATAGAACCTTTAGTAAATTAAATTAAGAACTATAAATTAGAATTAATAAAAATATAACAATACGAATGATGGCCGAATATTGGTGTGGGGGAAAAGAGGACAGCGTTACAATAAAAATTTGAGAGTCCCAACCACTCTTTTTGGAGGTGGATCCGTTTGCGGGTGGGAAGGCATATGTTTTGACGGTCGCACGGACTTAGTCGTTTTAATTAATGAGACAATGACTGCTACACGATATCGAGACAGAGTCATAGTATCAATAGTTGTTCCATTTTTTGGTGCAATAGGCGAACAATTTGTTCTGATTAATGATATTACTCACCCTCACCGTGCGAGAATTGTCAACGAGTGTATAGAAGCTTAAGGCATTACAAGTGTGGAGCATGTTCACCTGACATGAATTGCATTGAACATTTTTGGGCCGAAATATCTAGGCAACTAAACAGGCTCCTTCAACCGCCTCAAACCTTAGATCAGTTGGCCAATACATTACGCGCGATTTGGGAACGTATACCGCAGCAGTTCATCAATAATTTAATAAGAGGTCTTCCAAATAGAGTTAAAGCACTAAGGCGACACAGAGGGGTATCCACACACTATTAATTTTTCTTTTCGGGATATTAGAATAGAAATTTTAGGTTGTTAATTTTATATTTTTTGTTTATTTTCAATTTTTTTTTTTAAAGAATTTCTTTTTTTCGGTTCATCTGTATGAAAATACGAAGTCAAACTAAATCTTTATTTATATCACTCCATTTTTCTATTTGACCTTATGAACAAAAAATAATATACACATTTTCATAATATGCACTTCAATTGTTGAGAAGTGTATTGTCAGTTATTGCCAAATGGGTCGCGGTAAATTTATCGGTGAGAAAATTTGTTCAATCATTATTATATTTTTTAATTCTAGAAAATCCAATTCGGAAATCGCGAATATGTTGCAATTGTTACGCTATAGTGTAAGAAATATAGTCAGAAGATATAAAACTACAGGTTCAGTCGTCACAAAACCTAGAAATGTACGAAAAAGTAAAATAACCGAAGCAGTTCGAAGGGCATTAATACGCATTATAGTGAAAAATCGACTAGAAAATTAGTTAGCGTTTATGGAATAGCGTTAGAGTTAAGCGTTTTATGGAATGACGTTATTGAAAGACACGTTTCTAGATCAACATGTCACCGAAAGGCCCAAAAATTAGGATTTGGTACTTACAAAGTAAGTTTTATAGTTAAAAAATTAGTATGAATTGTTTTTAATAAATTTTACTTTATTTTAGGCTAAGGAAAAGCCACTTTTAACATTACAACAAAAGAAAAATAGTCAAAGATGGTCAAAAGCGCATAAAAATTGGACTCATTCGCAATGGGATTGAATACAATGGAGTGATGAGTCCAGATTTGAAGTGTGTCTTGGAGACAGTAGGAGTCACGTCATTCACAGGAAAAATGAAGCTTTCCATCCCTACTGTCTGAACAGAAATGTCAAATTTCCTGCATCTGTCATGATCTGGGACAGCGTGTCGTCTAAAGGTGTGGAAAATTCCATTTTATCGATGGGATTATAAACGTTGATCAAATTTGCAGTGAGCTCTACAAGAATGGTGGCGATGCCCTACTACAGACACTGCATAAGCTTTTACTTCTTGTTTGGCATAATGAGACCATGCCTTGTGAATAGTCTCAAGGTGTGATATGCCCGTTACATAAAAAAGGTTACCAGCTCCAGTGTGACAACTATAAGAGGTATAACCTGGTTAACAACTGCTTACAAAATACTAGCAAATATTCTCTACGAAAGGCTGCAAGTTTACACAGTGGGCATAGTTGGTAAATATCAAGCTGGATTCACTCCAGAAAAATCAACAATTGACCAGATTCATTCAATAAGACAGATTCTCGAGAAAACATTAGAATTCAATATTGAAAGCCATCACCTATTCGTCGACTTCAAGGCCGCATACGACAGAGTCAAGAGAACAGGGCTATACCAATCAATGCATGAGTTTGGTATACCAGAGAAACTTATCCGACTAACGAGAATGACAATGTCTAACTTAGAAGCCACTGTTAGAATACAGGGAGAGAGTTCTAGATCCTTTGAGATAAAGGATGGACTCAGACAACGGGATGCTCTGGCTTGCCTCCTATTTAATATTGCCTTAGAAAAGGCAGTCCGAGATACACGTAGGGATGGCGGTACTATTTACAATAGATTGATACAAGTCTTAGCATATACTGATGACATTGACATAGTAGGGCGTAGCAAGCGAGATGTTGAGCAATATCTCCTAGAATTGGAAACAGGTCGGTCTAGTCATCAACGAAGACAAAACCAAGTACATGTTGGTTACAAAGCATCCGATAGCAAATGAGGAACGAGAAACAGTCTTTGGAAGTCATACCTTTGGACGTGTTGACAACTTCACATACCTTGGGTCGCTATTGACTGCTACCAATAAAACAAATTATATACAAAACATTGCTGAGGCCGGTCCTCACATATGGAGCAGAAACATGGAGTCTAACTCAGAAAGATGAAAGACTTTTGGGAGTATTTGAGCGTAAAAAACTCCGCAAAATATTTGGAGCTGTAAACGACCAAGGGCAGTGGCGCAGAAGATATAATTTTGAATTGTATCAGCTCTTTTATGAGCCAGATGTCATAACGTTCATTAAAACACAGCGACTTAGATGGGCTGGACACATAATACGAATGCCAGAAAATACGATTGCTAAAAAGCTAACCACAGGAACACCTGTAGGAAAAAGAAGCAAAGGCCGACCGCGAATTAGGTGGTTAGATGGAGTTGAAACCGACTTACGAATATTAAAAATCAGAAGATGGCAACATGTTGCCAAAAACCGAACAGAATGGCGACGAATCTTAGAGCAGGCAAAGCTGATGATGATGATGATGATGATGATTATAAACACGGACAAATATTTGAATATTTTAGAAGAATCTCTTTTACCGATTATGGCACACCGTTTAACATCAGCGGAAGATTTTGTTTTAAAACAGGACTCATACAGTTGTCATATCTCAAAAAAAAAGAGTTTAAAAGTCCCGACTTGTCCCCGATAGAGACTTTGTGGCGCGAAATGAAAAATGCTTTGAGAAAACATCATGCCAGGTCCGTCAACGAATTGAAGGGAAAATTGCAAGAAATATGGGATTCGTTTACATTAGAATTTTGTCAAAACTTAGTAAAAACTATGACTCAGAATAATTGTGGATGCCATGAAAAATAAAGGGAATGTAACTCAGTGGTAAACTTTCACATTTTTGTATATAGTAATTTTTGGGTTAGTAACGTATGCGGTTTTTTTTTCGACTATACTGGGAAAAGCTCATTACCAAAATTGGAGGAGACGCTGAAATTGATTTTTTAATCGAGGGATTTCATTCGACACATCTTGCTCGAGTAATGATTATTTATTTTACTATAAGTATCGAATGATATAAATTTTATTATGATGGGATAATAGACATTGTGGAAATCTAGCATTATAAAATTTGTAATGAATTAGTAAAAAAAACCAAATTACACGTTTACTTACCGATTCAACAACAACAGGATATTTCTCTACGATAACATCTTTCACGTTAAATGCAACGTTACGACCAATCTTTCCGAGATTAACAAGCAACTCAACATAAGGTTCTGAGAAGATGGCAACATTTTGTTGCAAACCCGGGAACTGTTCTTCAATTTTTTCACTTGTCCAATGTAACCCGCCCTTAGCTTTGTCTATCGCCAAATGTGAGTACTCGCATACTTTATATTCTTTTAATGTTTTCCTTGTAAGAGAATCTGAAAGAAAAATTATTTTATAGTTTTTCGCAAATTGAATATCATTAATATTGTTCGGTTGAGTTTACCGAAAGTACAAGCTGAATATAGCCGCAAATGTCAAAAATATTTGGGATTGGCAGTGTTGGCATGTTTTTATGTATGGTTTTAAGCTTTTAAAAAGTATATTTTGATTATACTAGTTTATGAACTCAGCAAATTTTAATTTATATGAAACAATAATGAGTAAATACTTGTCTCTTTCGAGATTAATTGCAAACATCTTTTGCAATTTGGCAACTGCTGATTTGACGATTACCAAATCCATTCCCTAATATATCAAAGGGTAATTGCCAAAAAAAAATTTCTAATAATTAACTGCAATTAATCTCCAATGTAGAACCAATGTTGAGGAAGGAACAAGCCGGTTTCAGACCAAACAGATCATGCGTGGACCAAATTAACACACTAAGAATAATTGTAGAACAGTCACAGGAATTCAACTCTCCTCTCTTTGTGTGCTTTGTGGACTTCAAGAGAGCTTTTGACACGCTCACACATACGGCCATATGGAAAGCACTGCAGGAAATAGGAATACCAGAAAAAATAGTAAATCTCATCAAAGAACTCTACAGTGACACAGAAAGCAAAATCCTACACAACGGCATAACATCTGACCCAATAGCTATGCTAAACGGAGTAAAGCAGGGCTGTGTTTTATCCCCTATACTATTTAACATTGTACTGGACTCCGTACTAACAAAGGTAAACTCTAATAGAGGAATTTACTGGGGATTAACAAACAGACTGGAAGACCTAGATTACGCTGATGATATATGCCTCCTAGCACATACAAAACAGGACATGCAACTCCAAGTAAACAAAGTACAAGAAGAATCAAAGAAGGTTGGTCTAGAAATAAACACCAACAAAACCAAAGAAATGCGATTTGGTACCAGAAACAACCAACCTATTATGATCAACGACCAGAAAATTGAGAGAGTAGCGGAATTTGTATATCTGGGCAGCATAATTGACTGTAATGGGGGTACAGAGCGTGATGTACATGAAAGAATAAATAAGGCTCGCAACGCCTACAACATGCTTAACAACATATGGAAATCCAGGATTTACCCAACTAAAACGAAACTAAAAATCTTCAACACAAATGTAAAAGCTGTATTACTGTATGGCTGCGAAACGTGGAAGATATCAGCACCCATAGTACACCAATTACAAGTTTTCATTAATAGAGCGTTACGAAAAATCCTTCGTATATTTTGGCCTAACCGAATCTCCAATGAAAATTTATGGAACCAAAGCAACCTAGAAAATGTCATAAAGCAAATAAGGCGAAGAAAATGGAGATGGCTGGGCCACACACTCCGTAGACCGCCAAATGACATTGCCAGGACAGCACTGGATTGGAATCCCCAAGGCCGACGGAAAGTAGGCAGACCTAAGGGAACTTGGAGAAGGACAGTACTGGACGAAGGGAGAACAATGGGAAAATCCTGGCTTGAAATCAAAGCACTAGCCAGAAATAGAGTTCGCTGGAGACACTTTGTGGAAGCCCTATGTTCCTCTTAGGAATCTTGGGACTATATATATATATATATATATATATATATATATTATATATATATATATATATATATATATATATATATATATATATATATAATCTCCAAAGAAACAAATACTTACTTATTCTTGTTTTATACAAATCCAAAATTGCAGACTTTATGTCATAATATAAACAAAATGTACTTTTCTAAAATTCTAAAGCTCTATCTTTTTATATATGAAGCATACAGCATCTACATTATAAAAACATGTCAACACTGCTATACCAAAATTTTTTGTTCCATGTTTGACATTTGCGACTATAATCAGCTTGTACTTTCGATAAACTCAACCTATTGTTCAGTTATAAACAAAACTGTAATAAACTAATGGAAAATATAAGCTTTCTTGATAGTGTTGTTACTATTTTAAAAAATGTATTCCTGAGGCTGCTTTCATGTACGGACATATCTGATTTTATTAATTTTTTTTAGTTATATTTCACCGCATACATCCGCAGCTTAATTCACGTCAATATTTCAAAACTACAAATTAAATCATCATAATATATTAGGTTATAAGTACAGTTGTCCCCTGATAATCCGACAGGTATGGGACCAAAGAGGTGTCGGATTACCAAAAGTGATTATATAGTTGGTATTGTTTTGCTAGCAGTAACCTACAATATTCTTAAACTTTATGAGTAAAATGCTACCCAGATTAATTTGCAAATGATACCAATCTCGGCTAACTAAAACATGTTTATTAAACGAAATATGGAAGCTAATAAATTTAATGTGTGCCATATAGTGATATGTCAGTCTATTTGCTTTTTGTACTTACATCTGGTTGGTTCTTTTCTGACTACTATTCAAACTGGAACAAACCATGAAGTGGAAATATCCAGGAGTGGCTAGTATACCTGTTGAATACAAAGCACGTGGTGTTCGTGTGTATTAAGGTATAAAAACGCTTATTAAAAGCTTAAAATTTTTTATTATAAAGAAGATCTTTTCGGAATTGTATCATTCCATCATCAGTTTACTAAAAGAGAGAGTAAAAATACCAATATTAAAAACAACAAAGTTAAAATTTGAACATACAAAAAGAGAAAGTTCGTTTTTTACTACTTACATAAAAAAGGTTGTTAAAAAACATTGTGTGGCCACATAAAAAAACGTTCGGTTGACATCTGGATTTAAAAAAATAATATTCTTCGTGTTATTTATTCAGGTAAATGCAATAGACTCTTGACTTGTGTAATATAAAAAATGAAACTGGGGGCATCTTATATGACCCCCTGTAGTTGGTGAAGTTTTATTGACTTACATTACCTAAATGGTAATGTATGTCAATAATGGGGTAATGTAAGTCAATAAAACTTCACCAACTACAGGGGGTCATATAAGATGCCCCCAGTTTCATTTTTTATATTACACAAGTCAAGAGTCTATTGCATTTACCTGAATAAATAACACGAAGAATATTATTTTTTTAAATCCAGATGTCAACCGAACGTTTTTTTATGTGGCCACACAATGTTTTTTAACAACCTTTTTTATGTAAGTAGTAAAAAACCAACTTTCTCTTTTTGTATGTTCAAATTTTAACTTTGTTGTTTTTAATATTGGTATTTTTACTCTCTCTTTTAGTAAACTGATGATGGAATGATACAATTCCGAAAAGATCTTCTTTATAATAAAAAATTTTAAGCTTTTAATAAGCGTTTTTATACCTTAATACACACGAACACCACGTGCTTACTATTGTTTTAGTTTTCTGAGAAAAGATTGTCATATTAAATTATTTTGTTCTTACGTTAAATCTGTGAAGCAGTCTTTGCAGACTATCTTCATCATGGGCTATCAATATTGTGTCGTCTGCCCAACAGAGTATTTTGATTTCTTTGTTTCCCATTCTGTATCATCTTCCTTTGTTAACGGTTTTGATGATTTCATCCATGATCAAATTGAAGAACAGGGAGCTCAATGAATCCCCTTGTCTTATTCCGCTGCCAATTTCTTTAGGTTCTGTAAGTTTTCCATCTATTCTGACTTCCGTTTTATTGTTTTGGTAGATGTTTTCCATAGTTTGTATAAATATTTAGGGAATTTTTGTATTATACAGAAGATGGATTACATCTTTGAGTCTTAGTGTACACCTACATTGGAACCGTATTTCTCCCGATCCGATATCGGGCGACGTCGGCCGACGTCGGATTGAAAACAAACTCGAGGTATTAAACTTCCATGACGAAGCAGTATAGGCACTCTGATTTAATACCTTGAGTTTGTTTTTAATCCGACGTCGCCAGATATCGGATCGGGAGAAATACGGTTCCAATGTAGACGTACACTTAGTCTGTCAAACGCTTTCTTTAGATCAATCAGACACAGAAATGCTGGTCTATTGTGATTTCTCAGTAATTTGCTTTATAACGAATATTGCATCTGTACACGATCTTCCACTACGAAAACCCTGTTGTTCATCTGCTAAACTTATTCTCTGATTTATTCGCACTTATAACATTTTAGTTGTAAGTTTTAGAGTAGTATTTAACAAGTTTATACCTCTATAGATTTCTGGCTGTTTTTTTATCTCATTTTTTGAATAGTAGAATTAGTTCGCTCTTCCGGTATTTTATTGTGCTTTATAATTTCATTAATTGTTCTGTCATTCCTGTTCTCCAATATTTCAGTAATTCGTTTAGTATCCCGTCTTTACCTGCTTCTTTTCTGTTCTTCAGGTTTTCAAGTATTTTCCAAAACTTCCTGTACATTTGTATTAAGTTCTTCATTTGTGGTAATTTCTGGTGTTTCCAGTTCTAGCGTCGTTTGTTCTTCCTCTATATAGATCTTTTTAGGTAGTCAATCCACGTATCATTTTCTATGTGTTTTGGCTTTTCCGTTCTTTGACCTCTTATCAAGCGCCATATTTCCTCTTGCTGACCGTGCAAATTATGTTCCATTTCTTTCGAAAAGCGTTCCCAGTGATCATTTTTTATTTGTCTTACAAAAGAAGTTAAAATATAAAACTCAATTAACTAGATAAAAATAATTTGGTCAGTACTTTTAACTTTTAAGCTTATTCATAAGGTTAACAAGTCAATGATTCGTTTGAATGATGTAACCTGTTTTACACATCAAGGTCAATCAATAAGAATGTTTAATTACATTTTTAATAGTTTTGTCAAGAGAATTCATGTTTACAATATTTTTATATCACCATTAAATTTAGGACTAATTATAAAACAAATAAATTGCTTATTAAAAACAGTTGTTTTAAAAATAATACTCAGCATATATACTCAAGGAGCCAAGGAGAAGGATTAAGTATGCACTTTTGACTAACGAGGTTTTTTATGTTTTTTGGTGCCTATTATAGATTCGATTTTTCGGGGGTACCAGACTGAAAAGTGAGATAATTTGTTATTAACAATTTAATTGTTTAAATGATTGTATCTCATGGACTATTAGATATACAATTTAATTTTACCAAATTGGAATGTATCCATAAAAAAAATCAAAATGACGCGTAGTAAATTTTAAATAAAATGGTTTAATGGGGCATTTCCTAGTATAACTTCGCTTTTATACATGCAATTAACTTTCAAAACCTCTTCATTTTTAAGATAATTGTTTCAGCTTTAAAAAAACTTTGTAAGATTACTTTATCTTTATTAATAAAAAAGTTATAATTAACATTAAAAATTTCACTAAATAGTTAATTAATTTGCTTATAAGAGATTTAAACAAAATTAAGCTAATTTAAAAATCTGGCTAAGCGTTTTCATCTCTTCTCTTTCTAACACTATTATTGGTCTGATGACTGTTTTGTAAATTTTGGCTTTTAATTTCTTTCCCGATATTTTTATTTCTCCATATTGTTTCATTCAGGCAACGTGCGTATTTGTTTGCTCTATTCACTTTATCTTCCACTTCATATGGTCAATGATCATGTGTCTTGGCTGTATAATAACCTCCAGCAAAGTCAAAATTCACTAGACAATTGCGACGTTATTCAGTAAAATAGAATATATAAGTTATATGCCGACGACGTCTGCTCTTGGCCTCTTGGCCAGTAAGGCCAAGAGCAGACAAACGCAGTAGAGGAAGACCACCTACACGTTGGGCCGACGACATCAGGCGTATCACTAAAAATTGGCAACAAAGAGCACAAAATCGTGAGGAATGGAGGAGTTTAAGGGAGGCCTATGTCCAGCAATGGGCGTGATAAATAGAGGCTGGATGATGATGATGATGATGATGCCGACGACGTAATATAACATATCTATAGATGGGTAAAATATCAGAACTCTCCAAACTCTGGTTAACGACGATCTTAACATGGTTAAACGAATGGACAGAGAAGTAAGACTTCATTTCTCATAAGAAAACTTAATGCATATTTTCTAAAAGAACCTAGAGGAAAATCTTAACCTAACACTTAAAAAAACATATAGTAAATTTTACAAGCAGAATCAATTTTTCAGCATAATTTTCGACACTAAAAACTTAATTGGAAGCAACACTTCAATTATGTCATACAAAACTATATGCAAAGCTTGGTAAATATCTACAAAATAATTATTAGACTGAAATTAGAATATAGATGAATTGAACTATAAAGTAAACAGCTCTCTTATTCCTATGAAATAAAAGTATTAACTTTTCGAACTAATCCAAATTAGAACAAACTTATCATATCAACAATACCAGTAATTTATGTAAAAACAAACATTGCCCTTTTGTTTTATATGCAAATACAAAAATACATCTCTCTCCATCTACTACCCACAGCCTGTTACGTAAGGATTCGTCTAGGATGGTTGTTCTGCTGTGACCTTACTAGATGTGTTACCCATCTTACGCTTCGTATTTTTTTAAGACCGATATCACGTCTTTACCAGCAGATATCTGTTTGTATTTAAGGTATATCTCATAGTTGTACCTCCTCCTCCAAATACTGATTTTCACAGATGAATATTTCTCTCAAGATTCTTCGTTCAAATATGAAAAAGAAGTCAGGATACCTAAGGAAATTCTCACCCAGAAAGAAAACTGAAGGAAAAACAAGATGCAATGTACATTTAGAACAAAAAACATTCATTAAATACCTCAACACATCAATATATGTATGATCATACTTAGTATAATGTTTGATACATTAAGTATAAAATAAAAAATGCCTAATGAACTAAAATGTGGTAGTTTAGTTAGTAACAATTGTAAATCTTTCGGTTTTAATAATCTACGGACAAAAATGTTATCAATTTTTAATGTAATACTCATGTAGTTCTATTGTAAATGCAAATGTCTAAGCGGTCGAAGTCTTATTTCTCTAAGAAAAAAACTGCAGCACTTAAAATAATCGTTATTCGTATTGTGCTAAAAACTATTATAATAGCATAATTTAAACGAAATAAATCAGAAACTATCTGCATAAAAATAGCTTAACTCAGATATTTTAGCATAAGCATAATTTTATTCTATACAGCAAGATTGATCTGAACTAAGACTGTCAAATATGACCTAAGTGATAACTTGTGCATTGTAGATATTACCATTATTTAAACAACTTAAAATAGTATTTAATTATGAAAATACAAACAAAAGTAATCTTGGATATTGATAAAATATTTTTAACACTATCAAAAAATTATAAAAAATACATGTAATTATTATAATGCATATGTTAGATAATTTCTCAATGAAAATAAATCGATAGCATTCATTAACATTGACATGGGTCCCAATGTTAAACCACTTTATGGATAAGAGATAACGTGACATTTTTTTAAAAAACTGATGTTAAACAAAACGGCTACAGAAAAATATGGGAAATCGTGTTTCACAGTAAACATAGATTTTGCTGTAAACTGATGGATGATATCCATGTAAAAGTTAAAGACGACGTTACATTATGATTGATTGTTGAATGCCTGTACTTTCTCTCCAAAAGTTTGACACTGTATGGCATGTACTATAAAACTACTATCTATAAAATTAATTATATAAATTTGGACTGGTGACCAGAATAGCAGAGTATGGAAAAGAATACGGTCTAACAATGAACGTCAAGAAGACGAAATTTATGAGACTATCGAAAACTCAAAGAAATAACGAGAATCTTCTAAAAAATGGAACCAACGTCGAACAAGTGGACAAATATGCATATCTGGGAACAATGATTAACTCCACAAATGATTACATTCAGGAAATCAAAATCAGAATAGAAAAGGCTAGAGCATATTTCAAAAAATGAGAAGAGTTTTTTATTCACAAGTACATAAAAATTTGGCTGGGTCGATTTTTCAGACATGATCGAAGCTGAAACATCCCAGAAAAGACTAATGGTTCTAAAGTGAAAGCCATACTAAGTCTGCACATAACCCAAAAAAATACAGACCAATTTCTCTTGTCTGTAACAATCTACTTTATTTTGTTTGTTTACGAGAGGTTTATCTTTAATAGAATTGGGCCAGAGCTGTTCAAGGTGATCCCAATTGAACAAGCAGCTTTTTGAAGTTGAAGGACCAGGTAATTGTTACTCGAAATGGATTTCCAAGGAAAATTAATAACCTTTGCTGTATTTTTCTGTCTCTTAACAGTCTACGATATAATGTGGATCCAACACGTATAATATTATACAAAGGACAAATCACGACACACCAATACCACCATAATTAATGACCGGGTGTTTTTAGCAGATATCTGACATTAGTTCACCAAAGAAACTTAAAAATGGCTTACCACAAAGATCAATTCTCGATCCATTCCTATTTAACCTGTAGATTAAAGATGTGAATGACACATACAAGGTATAGAATACTAGAAATTTAAGTTGATGATTGACTGATGAGTATGGAAATCACTTTGGCAAGAGGATAATAGTTTTTGCGAATACTGATTGAAACTTAAAGTACCACTTACCATTCCAACTACCATGCTGTTTGATGTCATAAGAAATTACACCTCCAACTGCCAATGTCAACAGAATTAAAAATTTGTATGGGAAACCTCCTTTCTTTTTGATTGCCAATTGTTCTTGGATTTTCTGAAACCAAAAACATCAATTTTTATCATGTGTCATGTAATAAATGTAACTAAACAAATTAATAAAAACAAAAGTCATAATGTAACAATAAAACACTGAAAACTTTGTTTTCAAAACATTCACAAAATTTATTATAAAATATTGTCACTACAGCTGTTTCGGCTGATTGCCTTTCTCAAGTGATCTATGTTTGGCATGAGTTTACACTTCCTAGTCTTTAATGAAATAGGTTGAGGAGGGGAGAACTGTTTGTCTCAAGTTGGTCATTCAGAATTATATCTGTGTTTTTAATTTGTTAATTTCTACAGATTAAGATAGCTTAAGGCCTTTATTTTTATAAAATCTATGGAAATTAACAAATTAAAAAACACAGATATACTTCTGAATGACCAACTTGAGACAAACAGTTCCCCCCTCCTCGATTTATTTCATTAAAGACTATAAAGTGTAAACTCATGGCAAAAATATATCACTTGAGGAAGACAATCAGCCGCAACAGCTGTAGTGATAATATTCTATAATAAATTTTGTGGAAGTTTTGAAAACAAAGTTTTCAGTGTTTTATTGTTACATAAAATGAATTTCCATCAAGTAACGATCGAATCCATCAAAAATATATATAGGCATAATCCTTATGTCTATTTAAGCTAGTAAATTTCGATTTGTAAATTGTTTACAAAGACAATTCTGAATGTTTAATGGATTGAAATTACCCACAATTTTAATTGAAATGTTAAACAATTAAGAATAAACTGTATAGCAAACATTAATCAAGACATGTATTGTCGTCAAACTTATTCGTTAACACTATAAAAAAATGTTTTCCCATCCTGACTTTGTTAATTTCTTTATCTGGAGATAATCTTATAAACAAAGTGACAAATGTTTCAGTCCGCAAGTCACGCCAAAGTATATTAATACAATGCAAATAAAATCAATTCCAATGTAAATCCAACTCTGCTTTTTTTAACGACACGCTCTTGTTATTCATAAATCTCAGTTTTTTAAACAAATCACTACTAGGGAAAATTTTCGTTATTTAAAAAAAGTATCGACAGGAGGAATGATTAATACATTATGAACTGAGGAATTAGGGTACGAAAGGGTTGGTATAATAATTATTTATTTAGCAATTTATCATTTTTCCCTTTCAATATACTCTTCTTATACACCCTACACATGTGTAAGTCGCAGGTTGCAGCAGGTTGTCGTCATCTTTCCATATTTGGAGCCGCTTTTTGTGAATTTCTTTGATTAACGAGTCTTTATAAAACCTCTAAATATTAATAATGATTAACTGTCTGTGGTATTCATTCCATGCGAACTACACCCTGTATATCGAAGAAAACTGCCTTAAACTGTATGGTATACCGCTTGGTTTCATACTGTTCCTGACCTTTGACAAAAAGTTTGACCCCGTTCGATGCACCTTCTGTTCCGCCGTTAGGAGTCTGGGCAGAAGTTTAGCACACACTTTCCTCATTTTTAGTTCCTTATGCAAAATTTGTCTTACAGGTTTTTTATTAATGTCCTCATGTTCAACAATGGCTCTCATACTACATCTACAGTCTTTTCGAATCATTTCCGTCACTTTTTGAAGTCACAGGCCGACCGGGCCGCTCATAATCTTCAACATCCTCCCTCCCCCCATTAAAATGTTTTGCCCCTCAAAAACATTTTCCCTATCTCCGTCACGGTGTGTGTAGACAATAATCCCTTGTCTTCTAAGTTTCAAAGCTTTTCGATGGAAGTTTTAACAGACTTACTTTACTTTTACTTTTTCGAGTCTGGATCCGACTACAATTTTTCTGCCCAATATCGGGCTACGTCTACAGCCTTTGTATTTGCGAGCTATAAATCATCGAGGGTGCACTGTGATGGGCAAAGTCTGCATACTCTTAGGTGCTCCACATTTAATGAGGTCCTGTTTTACAGGGGCAACACCTGTGCGCATGCGGTTGAGTGTCCGCCAGGTTCTCCAGTCCAGGTTCATTCCATTAGGTCGTTCTGGATGTAGGGTGAACACTTCGGGTGGTTCGACGCTGACATTTCTCATAAACCTTTTCCTTGATTTAAGTCGGCTGATTCCTGGCGGTTCGTCAAACCCGCCGTTTGGCGGCAAACCAAATTGGTGCCGTTCATCGAAAGTTTGCCTGAAGTTCTCCACATATTGTGAGGCACATCTACGGTCGTCTGGTGATGCGAATCCAGCTACCCGGTACAGTAGGTGTAGAGGGGTAGGCTTCATACAACCGGTAATGATTCTACATGTTTCATTTAACGCCGTGGTGACTTGTTGGGCGTGTCTAGATCTACCCCAGACGGGACAAGCATATTTCCCTGTTGAGAAACATAAGGCCTCAGCTGTTGACTTCAAGACCTGGGGGTTTGCACCCCACTTGCTCCCTACAAGTTTTCGGAGAAGGTGGTTTCTCGTAGAGACCTTTTGTCTTGTGCTCTGACAGTGGAATTTATACGTTAGTGACCGGTTTAGTATAACTCCAAGATATTTGGGCCTATCAGTGTGTTTCAAGCGTTGTCCCTCCCAAGAAACATTCAGTTTTACATGCGCCAGTTGGTTGTTGAGATGTAATGGAGTTTTAACAGAATCTTTCACTTTATTCTTTTTGCTACAAGTCTTGTAGGCACCTGTATTTTCCACCATTTTTTCACTTTTCACTTGCTTTTCTCTCAAATATCTCAATATTTCTGACAAGTCTTGCTTTACTGCTTCCAACCATTTCTTCTTTTGATGACCTCTTCTTTTTTCCCATTTCTCTCTCAGTATTGTTTTAATATTTTCATACTCTGGCATTCATATAATGTGACTAAGTCGTCTAGCTCTTTGGGTTCCTATTTTTGCTGTAATTATTGGTGTGCCATATATTCTCATTATTTCTTTACTTCTTCATCTTCTCCTAATATTCTCTGTCGTCTATATTTCTCTGAAAATTTTTCTGGGCACATTTCCTTCCTAGATCTCTACTTTCTTGTCTTCCTGCTGTTTCATAATCTATGTTTTGCTGGCATACATCACCGTGTGCCTGATTACTGTCTCGTAGTTTAGCTACACACATTTTTGCTTTCAGTATTGAATTTAAAGATCCTACCGCTCTGCCCCCATTCATTAATCCTTTGTCTATCTCTTTTCCTTCTTTTTTGTGTTCGTTATGGTTAATCCTAAGTATTAAAATTCTGTCACTTTTTCAAAACTATAGACAGTCCCTGCTCCTTTCATTTTGATATATTTGTTATCATTTCTTATGTCTCAATACATTTACATATATTGCGTTTTTGTTTGGTTTATTGATAGGCCGTATCTTTCTGCTTGTTCTTAAAATGGAAATTGTTGGAAAACTTTTTCTAGATGTATTTTCGTTGTCGCTAGTATCACATTATCCGCGTACGCTATGCACTGTTCCTTGCTATTGGAAATAATCCTGTTTGTGTTCATATTTGATCTTCTTACAATTTGTTTTAATACTAGGGTTGAATAAAGTCGTTCATAGCGGATCTTCTTGTTTTAAACCTCTGTTCACCGTGAACTGTCCTGAAAAGCTTTCTTCCATTGATAATTTATTTCTCGTGTTCCAAGCGTCATTCTCACTAGCCTTATAAGGTTTTCTGGTATTTCTTAAGTTCTCATGGCCTCATATAGCATCTTTCAGTTTATGGAGTTGTATGCCTGTTTAAAATCCATAAATAACATATTATTTAATTCTCAGTTTTGTTTGTAGCTATTATTTTGTATTTTATTTTTAACATACTCCCCTGGTATTCTCTGATAACTTTGTTTTCATATTTCATTAATCTTTTCCTAAAAATGTATGCAAGTATTTTATAGATCACTTTTAATACTGTGCTATACTTCGATAGTTTTCGCACTCAGTTTTGTCATTTTTTTTGTATACAAAAAGATAAGTAAACATTCTTTGTTTCTACAATACTTTGTATTATTATTTTTTTTAATTTCTCTGAATATCTTAACTTCTTGGAAATTTCTTACATCTTTGTTTATGTTTTTCTTCTTCTTCTATGTTTTCCAATTACTTTTCTAGCTATTTTCTTTTCTTGTTTCTGTAACTTCTCTTTACTTCCACTTTTCTAGGAATATCCACAATTGTTTTATGTAGAATATTTTACTTGAATCTTAGCAAAATCCTTACGTTTTGTTGAGCAGTGTATACTCGTTTATGAATATTAATTTCAAGTGTTGAAAGAACTTTTCCTATTTCTAAATTGCAGCAGACTTAATATAAACTGGGTTTATTCCAAAACAAATTATTTGAAACAACCCCGTCAACAAATATATAAATTAACACAAATAGGATAATAACTTTTAAATGCCATTATTTCAAACTTTAAAGAATTATGTTTTTTGAAAGCCAATGATTAAATCGTGATTAACTGCCACATTTGATTCTGAATTTCATGTCATTTGTCAGAATATTTTAACTTAACCTTGGAAACAAAAAAAATCACATATCTTGCAATAACTTGACTGCATAAATGATGGTTTATGGTTTACAATGTGTGTCTCTCAAATTACAATGATATGATGCCCAGAATTTTGTGAGACATCCAAGTAATGCTTACCCCACATTCAACTGATGGATCTTCTAAAAGTGGTTTGCTAAACATACTTTTTTTGAAAACAACTTTTAACAGATAATCAATATTCGAGAACATTATTACTCTAGTATTACTATTTATGAAGATAATAACTAAGTGTGTTTGCTTTTGGCACCATCTTTGCTAACTTATTATTGTACATGACTCAAACTCATTTACTTTTAGAAATATAATTGTTAATTTATTACTCACTACTTGAAACATTTAAAGATTGGTTATCTAATTTCAATGAACAATGGAATGCACAACAAGTACATACACAGGTAAGCAAGAAATTCTTGGCATTATCACCAAAAGTAAAAATATATTGTTAGAAAACACAGCCATGAAAGTTGCTTTCCTTGATAATATACCTTTATGGGGGAGAT